ATGCGCACGATACAGGCTCGATTTATCATCCATCTAGCAAAGCACATTGAAAAGTCTCTTTCTCTCTCTCTGTTTCACTCTTTTTCCCACTCTCTCGCGGATCGCATAAATACCGGAAGAGAGCTTTAATCATTGCGTGGTGCAAGCAGCAGCGGTGGCAGCCTGGTAAGCTCCAGTTCGCGTTGATGTACGTACATTATAGAATCTACATGGACCCATGTACGAACGTTCGATAAACTCTGTCTCTCGTGCTTATGCTTTACACATAGGTTTATGTACTACGTGAGCTTGCAGCGTGCTCCGTACATATACAGTTTAGAAAATTAAGCAGATTAATTCGAGCTATTGGTGCGCGCGAGCTCTCGCGGCCCAAGGCCTCAGCCTATACCTTACGTATATACGGGAATTAGGTTGCGACGATCGAACCGCTTTTGCATACTATATACGAGACGATGCGTTCCATAAATTTCCGATCAGTTTTCAGTAGAGAGAGCTGCGCTTAGTTTATTTGTTGTTTTTTTCTGTCTGTCTCTAAATTCAATTACGTCAATCTCTCGTATCGTCGATACTCGAAAGACCTCGTATATTTCAAACAGTCTCGAAAGTTGATCTCTCTCGTTCATCATCAACTCTAAACAATTTTAGTGCGCTATATACTTTTTGGTAAGCCCGGTAAGGACCACGAAAAAGATACAAAAAAAAAAGACAAACGTACACGAACTTTTTCTCCTCGAACGAGAGTGAAAGAGTCAAAAAAAAGAAGAAGAAAAAAGCTCGTACGAGAAAGATAGATTGAAGAATCAAGCTTTCCCTCTGTATCTTCTTTTCCATTTGTACGCACGATAAGTAAAATTCCAAGCTCTTACTCGTTCTCTCCCTCCTTTTTTTTTTCTCTCCCATTTTGAGCACCTTCAGCAAGCAGACCTTGCTTGCCTGCACACACGAGGCAAAGACGTACCGACTGCACCTACACACACACACATACACACAAACACATACAAATACGTGCATTTATACGTATATAGCAGCGAGTTGCAGTAAAGCTCACGCACGCGAGCTTTCGCGAGCTTGAAAGGCAACAGTAAGCAAGTAGGATAAGAGAAGAAAAAAAAGCGAGCAGTAAGGAAGAGGGAAAACTTAGAAGGGGGCTTCTTATAGCTTTTCTTTTCAATCTTCGCGCAACGCAAAAAAAGAAAAAAAAAGAAAAACGAGAAAGAGAAAGATGACTGCAATATTCTTACACCGATACGAGTGTGTATTACACGAGCGTACATAATATACAAGGGAACATCAAAGCTTTTTAGCCGGGGCCTCTCGAGCCGCGTGGCGGATCTTTCTCGCGATCTTAACACATATAGCACCTATACGCGCGAGTGGTGTATTATTAAGTTCGCCTCTTTACGGCGATGTGTGTTAAGACACCTTTCGCGAGCTTTACTTCTCTCTTTTTTTATCACACATACACATGCGTATTATCTTTGAATACATACGATATACGTTATACATAGCGCGCAAACACATTTACGCGCGCGTCACGTATTAATATTTTATATAGAATATAATATGCGCAGCACCACCGAGAGCGTGGATTATCTCGTCATCGGCCAATTTCATTCTTGCTCCCTTTTTCCGCTCGCCGTAAAGTAAAAAGAGAAGAATAAGAAGAAAAATCCCAGCCACTCGAACGAGCGCGCTGCTCTCGGGCAACAAGGGCACGAGGCGTCGGTGTCGAGTGTTTACTCTGCTCATATATTGTATTATATTAGATGTGTATATGTATACATATATACGGGGCATGTCCAACCCTTTTCTTCCTTCGGCCGATGAATATTCATGCTGTGTGTTTGTCATATAGTGCAAAGCTCGCAAGCTCGCACACACACATAGGCGCCACTGAATTTAATATATGTACATTGATATAGACTCGCGCACAAACATACTGCAGCGTATAAGACACACAAGTACGTTTGTGTATCCTATTGGATATAAGCTTTTCTCGAGACGCTCGAGGTTCGTACTGCTATGTGCATCTATGCGTATTATGTATTTTATCATATATATATTCGAGGCCAAGCGCTGCTGCTGCATCGGTGAGCGCGTATTGTTTCACTGCGCTGTACATATAACGCGAAGCTGGCAGGTGTCGGTATGCAAAAATATGTTTACACTTCTGCACATAGCGTGTAGGGGAAAAGAAGAAAATGTATAATGCAGGCGTCTTGAGAGGAAAGATGGAAATGTGCATTTTATAATATACATGAAAAGCTGGTGTAACGATAACAATTCGCCGAAGTAAATAAGAGAAGGAGCGTTTGAATTCGTACTTGTAACTTGTGTATGAGTCTCGAAAGAAAAAAGTTATTTTCGACTCGATGTGTAAAGAGGTCGGCATTTCAACCGTGTACACACGCGCCCTGTAGAGTAGGTGCAGAACAATGAGTATAATATGTATATAGTGTATAAGCGTTTTTTAATGTACTCCTGACATTTGGAGCACCATTCCGCACGCGCGTGCAGCAGCAGTCCATGTAGCGTGCATGTAACGCGTTTAGCAACAATAACAACAACAACACAATGACCAAAAAAAAAAAGCGAGTAAAGTCTCTTACGTAGCTAATGCACTCTAAAACTCGTTCGCAGCGGCTGCTCTTGGCAAAATTTTGGGGGCGCAGCAGCAGCAGCAGCAGCAGCAGCTTTGTGTAATCTAGCGTGCTCGTATCGCGCGCTCGCTCGACAATTTCAACGCTCGATGGTGCGCGCGGAGGCCTTCCTGATGACATTTTATGCACGCGGTGAAAATTCAGAGTCATGCATACGTATCAGGACCTAGATGTATACGACCCGTGATCCCTTCAAACGCTCGACTCTTGGAAAAGAGTCTAGGCTCGTGCTTTAAAATCCAATCATCGACTCTTTTTCCGTCATGTACCTTTACTGTGATAAAAAAAAGGCGCAGGACCCTCACGTAAAAGAGCTCAAAGAGTTTCAAACTCTGCTAACTTTTCAAAAATATGCGCTTAGAATTCATATCGATCTTTATCTGTATATATATATATGTGTGCGGCTCTTGAAAAAAAGCTGTCGAGATGAAGAAATTCATTTGTGAATGTTTCTTCTTTGGTACGCAATTGCATACGTACGTAATATTTTTTGCAAGTACCGTCGTGAATAATTGACGGTTTAATTAACGCGCGTATACAAACAAGCGCACAATCATGTGTATATGTACGCAGTTGCAATCGCCGACGCATATACGTGTAATGCAGAGAGAAAGCAATTTATAATTGCCACGTTAATTACTTCATTTACGACTCTCGGCATTCTATTTCCTATATACGTTTGGCCGCGTACCGAATAATCGACTAGGTTTGTGCACGCGCGTGCAATGGGGCTCTCTCTCTCTCTCTCAATTTTGAATGCAGGTCAGGTCAAGCGACCGACTGGCCGACCGACTGCTGCGCACTATAACGGCCTGTGCTCTAGCCTGTGTGTATACAATAATAATGCAATATGCAAACCAACGAGAGCGACGTGGCTCAAGGATCTTCGCATCGATTTTAATGATATTGAATAAATTTCGAAGCGAGAGAGAGAGAGAAAGAGTAAAAATCGCATCTGTATTAATCGCGCGGTCGCAAACAAGACAAATTGGTCGGGCGGTCGGGGATTTATGGGCTTTGCGTTTTCACGGAGAGTCGGACGATAATCGCTATTCAAACGTCGATAAAACTTTGCATTTATGCTAATGCTCGACTGATGCCGATACTTAATTTCAGGCTGATGTTAAACACATTGAGCCCTCTTAATATAGTTTCTTCTACTAAAAAATTATTTTGTTAATCATCTCAATCATTCACGAAACATCTAAGATATGATCTGTTAGAGCTCTGATAAAATTACTCAATACTAATAACGTCTTAATGACCATGTAAAATATTTCAAAATATTGAACCCATTTTAATTAAAATTAAAATTTCAATATTTCCAAAAATGCAGTGCTGTTTAACTACTTCAAATACGGTAATACGGTAATCTGCTAATAGATGGCGAGTATATTTATTTTAGTAAACCTGCAAGTGGCAAAGTTAAAATAACTATATAAGTTATGGCATGTCATGGCAAGTGACAACTATGGCTTCTTTTTTAGCACGTAAATCAATCGCTGACGAGCATAATAATTAATATGAGTATCGTCCAACGTATAACCAATTCAAACTATCAATCACTCTCGTCATCATCCACGCAAGATTTTCTCGCTTAAATTCGCAACGATTTAATCATCGTCGAGTTAACGTAACAACAATCATTACGTCAACAAATATTTAATCAATGCCGTAGACTACATACGCTTGTGTAGTTCAGTCCAGGGATTGTAAGAGCGCCTACACACATATATATACGCGCGTTAGCTACGCAGTAATCGGTTTCGATCATTAATTGTATTAGTCCATCCATCGATCAATCAAGCTTCGATGACGAGATCGAGTCGCTAAATACGTTGTTGTTGTTGTTGTTGTTGTTGTTGTATGCCATAGACGCGTGGGTATACGTGAATTGCAGTACATGTGAGTGTGTGTGTGTGCAGCAGAGCCTCCGCAGCGGCAGCAACAGCAGCGTCGGCAGTATATTACGAGCCGTTTGTTACGCGAACGAGGAAAGAGGCTCAGGGAACATCCCGTGAGTGATCTATTTACTTCAGCAATCGAGCCGAGTCTTGCATGGTATACATCGACCTTCTCACATATTACGATATAACCACGGCGAGATATCGACTCTAATCGATAATATTATTGTAACAAGTAGTTGATATCGCGCCCGCTACGTGGCAGACTCGTATATTTATTGCAATTCCCAACAACGAAATTGTAAACAAAAATCTATGTATATCTGCATACAAAAAAAATGAAAATAACTATCATAATTCGTTCGCTTTTACGAATAAGAGTTTAATATTCGTAATACTTTTTGCCAATGCTCATTGCCATAATGTACGATCGCAGGTGAAGCAGCTGCAGCAGTAGCAATAGCAGCGTCGTCATGGGCATCTACGTGGCGGGGGCGGCCGGATTGGGCGCTCTCTACGCGGCGATCGTCGGGCTCGGCTTGTGGGCTGCCCTGCACGGCCGCAAGCGCGCCTCGGCCGGCTCCCAGAGCCACATGATACTGGCCAATCGTAGCGTCGGACTTTTTCTCGCCATTTTCTCGCTCGTCGGTAAGTATACATTATACATTACGGTATATATAGTAGCAGCCCAATGGCATAGGAGATACTGTATAACCGCACATAAACTACACCTGGCCTCGCGGGAGCTTGCTCAGCGCCGCTTAACGCAGCTACACACTCAGCTACATGGCCCGGCACGGTGGGCGCGCGCGCGCTCACGACGACGGGGAAAATTTCGTTATCTACAGCTACTATCTCGATGTATTATTATGAGAGGTTAAAAATATGCGTCTTATTTTAATAGTTGGAAGCTCTGCGATCTACTCGCCCGCGTAGATAAAGCTCTGGAGCATATTTATCTCTGCGAGCGCGACGTTGTAATATTTCATCGACATTAAAACAGTGTTACGCGTATAATAAGAAACGTGTAACTTACGGGGCTCGCAGGCCTCCAGTGCGCAATCTTCGTGTTTCGTTTGCGCAAAAATATAACGCAATGAGCGTCGTGCTCTACCGTGGAAAACTTTTTTTTCGTAACGGTAAAAAGCTCCGCGCCGACAAGGAGGAAATAATTCAGCGCGAAAATAAAAACTCGGTCCTCGTTTTACAGTCGCGTGTATACGCGAAGACGGCGACGAAAAAGAGAAAGATACAGATCGCCCAAAAACGTTTGTTTTTCTCTCCTCGTCGCAAGCTCATTCCGTGCTAACCACGGCGTATCTTAAAGTCGCGAGGCCGTGCTCGAGCTTGCAGCAGTAGTAGCAGCAGCAGCAACGACGTCGCAGTATCATGCCGTACGCGTACACACAATAAAGCTTCGGGATCTTTGCCACGCGCGCTATATACACGTACATCTGATATATATGTGCTTGTGAGCTGCGAGCATACTCGCGCGTGCACAGAAAGCGAGTCCTGCAAGCCTCTCGACCAAGAGCCAAGTGGTCTTCAAAAAAGTCGTGCGCTCGCTCGCTCGCCCGTCGTATATACGTATACGGGCCAACAAACGAAGAAAGAGTAGAGAAGCCAAAAGAAGAAAAAAAGAATACGGGCGGGGGTCGGAATGAACAATGCACCGCTATGTGTGTGTGTGTGTGTGTGTGTGTGGGCGCGCGCGCGCACGAGGACTCGATCCCGAGCTCTTAATTAGGCTCGCGCTTTTACTTGCGGCTAGCTGGTTGAAGAGGATCGTTCCGAGTCTCTTTTGCTGCGCGACACAAAGAAATTGAGAACGAGCAACGTGGACTTTTTCATCGAGATACAATTTCCTTTCCTTTTTCTTTTTTTTTTTTTTAATTAAAATTTATTATAGCCAAGCGCGAGGGAAAATTATGGCTAACAGCTTGTATAAGTGGTCATTTTTCTCTCTCTTTCTCGATTTTTAATTTTTTTATCTGGATCTCGACCAGCAATTACGTGGTACTATTATGCATTATTGTCATCGACAAGCCATCAGCCCTCATTAAATTCTATAATTTTCCACTGAAATTGATTTACACAGACACGGGAACTTATAACATAGATATTGTTTCTCCCGACAAACAGAAAAGACTGACTCGCATCGAAATTCCGGCGCTTCTCCATCGACGCGCGATAAGTCAAGCCATACACAAGTCGTACACGAAAATCGCACAAGTATCATACAGAGTAAAGTTTTACCCCAAGTACGATATTTCACTTGTTGACAAATAATGCATTATTCAATCGCGTTACAATATATTACGAGATCGCGCAGACTTGGCGTATAATTCAATGCGCGGCTAAATCCTGACAAACATGGATGTACACAGCGACTCATTTGGCTGCGATATAAGCGAAATATATACAAACTTGCGGCATACACACGCTCGAGCTCTTATTAGTTCAGTCGCGTCTCGAGGGAAATTTTCAATACATATAATACATACGATCCATACATACACAGAACCGAGCTGCCTCGCGAACGCGTGACTGACGTTAATATATAGATCTTTTGTTTCCTGCTGGATGTAGGTACACACACATAAGAGCTAGGCGCACTGTACCACTTGGCAGAAAGAGCTGATGTCAGCTTGATTAATGCATTATATAAAGAGCACGTACTATATAGGCACACTAGTGAATTGACCCGCGGCACACATATCATTTTGACCCGAACTTCGATACGCGAGCTTTTGCTTGTATATGTATTTAAACAATGTCGAACGTGTTTGGGTGGAGTATAATGTGAAACTGGGGTGAACCATCGTGATTTCTCGCTCGCTCTCTCTCTCTCTCTCTCTCCCGCCAAGTGTATGTACTTTACCGAACTTTCGGGTACCGCGTGTGCGCGCATAAACGCACGATCGTTTGAATAAATCACGAAATTTCACAAGAATATGACCTCCCCCCGCTTTTCATTGCCCATTGTATAATTCATGTACATACGGTTGAACGGATGAAATCAATTATGTTTTTCCACGTTGATTAAAATTACGAAAATAGCCGCTCGTAAACACTGCGCGCACAGCAGCTAACAGTGTAGCCGATCCGCGAAAAGGCCACGAATTATGATGATGCAAGCTCTCGGCGCGCGGATATATAATGAACGCTTCTTTTATGTCTGTGTGAGTGTGTGAGTGTGTGAGTGTATGCAAATCCTTTCCGTTTTCAAAATCGCCAGCTTTTGCAAACCATTACCTTAATGAAGCTCAACCTGCTGCTACTGCTGCTGCTGCTGCTGCTCTTCTACGACTGCTCGTGCTTGCGCGCCTATATCTATATACGTATTATACACTCGGGCTGAAGCGCAGGAGCTGCTGCTGCTGCTGCTGCAGTGTTGAGTACGCACTATATACGAGCGCGCGCGGCGCAGACGATATGTATATGGGTCAAAATAATACTTTTTTACAAAACCGTGCGCACGTATGTCACCGATCTTGACGCGCTTTTGGTATGTTATAGTACATGGTAAAAAGGTCCCAAAAAAAAATTTTTAGACCCCCTCCTCCCTCCTGCCCCCCACTTCCGGAATAAACGTCCATTTTCGATCTATATTTTTTCTGAGGACATGAAGCAAGTAAAAAATCTGAAAAAATTCATAAAAATACTTTTCCACAATCCAAACAACCTTGAATTTTTTCAGATTTTTTGAGTGCTTCAGGCCTTCAGATAAAATCATTGAAAATTTCAAAAATCGAGATACGGCGGTATGAGCCGATGTAGTACTCGGAAATTTTTTCAGTTATTTTTCGCATTAAAAAACATAACCTCAATTTTTTTCAGATTTTTTCAGATTACCTAACGCACCTTTTGAAGCCAAAAACCGATTTTTTTGACGAAAATAATTTTTTTAGGACAGTACGGAGCCTCGAAAAATCTGAAAAAAATTTTTTCTTGTTTTTTTCATCAAAATACGTAATCTCAAATTTTTTCAGATTTTTTAATTGAAGGCGATAGCTTCTAGGGCCGAAAAATGCTATTTTTAACAAAAAATGGTTCCTAGAACCCGATGGTTCCGGTGAAAAAATTTGAAAATATTTTTTTTGAATTCCTTGTCAAATTTTAATAAATTTTGACCGTTTCAAAAGTTCGATTGAAGCTTCCTAGCTCATTTTAGAGCATCAAACGAGTTTTATCATTCCTTAATGTCTTCAGAAACGTCTTCAGATATTTTGCACTAATCTTTGTCCTGCTCTAAAATGAGCTAGGAAGCTTCAATCGAACTTTTGAAACGGTCAAAATTTATTAAAATTTGACAAGGAATTCAAAAAAAATATTTTCAAATTTTTTCACCGGAACCATCGGGTTCTAGGAACCATTTTTTGTTAAAAATAGCATTTTTCGGCCCTAGAAGCTATCGCCTTCAATTAAAAAATCTGAAAAAATTTGAGATTACGTATTTTGATGAAAAAAACAAGAAAAAATTTTTTTCAGATTTTTCGAGGCTCCGTACTGTCCTAAAAAAATTATTTTCGTCAAAAAAATCGGTTTTTGGCTTCAAAAGGTGCGTTAGGTAATCTGAAAAAATCTGAAAAAAATTGAGGTTATGTTTTTTAATGCGAAAAATAACTGAAAAAATTTCCGAGTACTACATCGGCTCATACCGCCGTATCTCGATTTTTGAAATTTTCAATGATTTTATCTGAAGGCCTGAAGCACTCAAAAAATCTGAAAAAATTCAAGGTTGTTTGGATTGTGGAAAAGTATTTTTATGAATTTTTTCAGATTTTTTACTTGCTTCATGTCCTCAGAAAAAATATAGATCGAAAATGGACGTTTATACCGGAAGTGGGGGGTAGGAGGGGGGAGGGGGTCTAAAAATTTTTTTTTGGGACCTTTTTACCATGTACTATAACATACCAAAAGCGCGTCAAGATCGGTGACATACGTGCGCACGGTTTTGTAAAAAAGTATTATTTTGACCCATATAGACACAGCCGGCGGTCGCATCGCGAATCGTTGGTACGAATGCAATCGAGCTGGAGACCTGCGGGAGCGGCGCAGTAGCAGCAGCAGCAGCAACGGTAGTAAAATACGTACCCTATGAGAGAGTCGGCTATATGCTATAATCATGTCTTTATACGCATGTGTACGTGATACGCGTGAGCGTATAATGTGCACTAGCTATATACTCGCATATTATACACGAACGTAAACAAGGTAGAGAGGAGCAAATGGTTGAGCGTATAAATACGAAAGTTCGAGCAGTTTTAAGGTCCAAAAGCGTCGAAATTATATTAGCACGGTGAAGCTGCACGCTCGTAAATGACGGATCTGTGTGTGTGTGTGTTTTATTGTATACGTGCACGAAGTAAGCTAGAAAAAAACGAACTGCCACACGGAGAGCTCCTCCCTTTGAATTGGCTCAAGTTTCAGAAACCCGCGCGTGACCCGATGACACGTAACAAGAAAATTGGCGCGCGATCTCTTTTCTTTTGTTTTCTTAATGCACAGCAATAACAGTAGCTGCAGCAGCTCAAGTTTAATGAATAAAGATTAAGCGCTCGATAAAGTACCGAGTGAAAAATTCCAATTTTCCTTCCGAAAACTATAAAAACACGTCACTCGGGCGACGTGTAAATGGAAGGCAAGTAAAGTAAGGAGAGAGAGAGAGGAAAAAAAATGATGTTGGCTGCGCCTTTTGAAAAGCTCGTGCGAGAGCTAGCTGCTGCAGCTGCCGCTGCGATCGAGCGCAAACTGCCCTCTTTTACCCTTCTATTCCGTATTATAAAACATCACAAGCGGCAGTCGCGTTCCATATTTTTACCAGCTCCAGAGCTTGCAAGCTTCGTCTCTTTCTCTCTCCATCTCTTTCGAAATAAAGCCAAACAGGAAGATGAAAAAGATACGTTTTAAGTAATGCACTGCAATCTCGCTGCAGTGTATAGGCTAGGGCGCTTAGGTACAAGCGGCACAGACAGAAAGTATTATATACCTGTAGCACCCACATATAACATTTCGATAAAGCCGGGCCGTGCCGCTTTTTACTGTACACTATCGCGCGACACATATTTTAGGAGCGCACCAACACCACCACCAAGGGGCTTTGTGCGCTTTTTCGGATCATACTTATGAGCATAATTTGTGAATTCGCGCCTCAAGAGTCATTCTTTTTTCTTCTCTCTTTTTCCAGCAACATGTGTCGGGGACACTTTGGTGCACGGCACGGCCGACGCGATGTTCAGCCGAGGATTGGCCTGGTGCCAAGTGCCCATCGGCTACGGTCTAAGCCTGCTGTTCGGTAAGTCACGTACGATAGTTCCTGGAGTATAGCAAAATTTATACATATACGCGTGTGTATCAGCTCGCGACAAAACTTTTCCTCGCGTATAAATCCCCATGCACTTGTCCTGCTCTCCTGCTGCAGCAGCGAGCTTAGGCGTGCGCGCGATCTTTCGAGACAAATGCCTTGCGCGCGCGATATTCTCCCCTCGAGGATTTCTTCGCACGCGCGCAGGTGAGTTACGCGTACATAGAAGAAGCAAAGAGCAAGGCGACGACGACGACGTACGCGAGCTTTTTCTACGTGTAAGCTACTTCTTTTCTTATTTCTTTTTCTCTCTCGTGCGTGTTACGAGTGACGCGATGAAAAAGACAATAGGGGGTTGAAACAAGTGGAGAGAAAAAAAATTAAATAAGATCATTGCTAAATACTCGCCGGGGAATAATCGAATTGTCCGAGGAGGAGTCGCAAGCGCGCCTTGTCGAGTAAAGTGAGTTTGGATGTATAACCGCGCGGAGACGTTATATTCTCTGCCGAATGCGAATGGAAGAAACGATGACAGGACGCCGAAGCTCGAGTACGTAAGTGGCTCAAGCTCGCTCATACGTATATAACCGCACAGCTCGCTCGCAAGCCGCGCACATTACCGAAACACTTGGAAAAAGCACCTCGAGCGTGTAATCGGGTTTCGCTCGGGTCGTCAGCTACCGAAACTGCCGTTGAAATCGCGTTGACGAATTACATGTACGATGCACAAGTTTTGTAATTGGATAGTAATAGACGTGATTCTGATGCTTGTGATCGAAGGTGCGCTGCTGTTCGCCAAGCCGATGCGTAAGGCCGAGTACGTGACGATGCTCGACCCGTTCCAGCAGCACTATGGCGCCCGAGTCGGCGGCCTGATGTTTCTGCCGGCGCTCTGCGGGGACCTCTTCTGGTCGGCAGCCCTGCTGCGGGCGCTGGGCCTGGCCGTGAGCCTCGTGGCCGGCATCGAGACGACCGTGGGCGTCGGCGTCACCGTTTTGGCCATTGCGCTGTGAGTATACTCGACTAATATTTATATCGTAAACACGTCATATATGTTCTACGTACACACATAAAACGTTATGTATCGAATGAAGTACGTAAGATTGCATCGTGCATGCGTAACGTTATGTTATGTATTTAATTCTAAAACTTTGCTTTTTCTCTTTCGGTTTACGAGAATTTAGTTATACCCCATGTAGTGGTAACTTGTGAACTTTGTACCTGAGAAAATAAGTTCAGATACGTAGAATTTTCAGCACGCTTCCTTTCATTATACATAAAAGTATCGTGTGATCCAGGCATAATTTATTATTTTTAGTGTGCGAGTATTATCATGAAATTTCGTGATTTAACAGCAGCGTTCTAGTTTTTATTCCGAAATTCATAGCTGTAAAGTAAATATGAAATATATTTACTTTAATTGAATATTGATGAAATTTATGAATATTTTTCACATTATCGAGTAAACACTTTAAACAATCATCAAGTTTGACCTAACATGGTGAAACTTGTAGTTTAATATCATTTACGTACTCTTTTTTCGCGAAACCGAGAATTGATATTAATCAATTTCAATCAAATAACAGTTATGCTCAGTTTATGTCTTACTGTCTATGTTAATTTACTCTTGGTCAAGCATTGTTTTACACAAAATAAACCACTGATACAGATTCAAATATGAATGACAATGCAAATATAATACGGTACTTTCGTTACATCCGTACTCGTACATCCGTCTTATGATTGCTGTTAGTGATGATGCGAATGTAAAAAATAACACATCGTCGTTACGTTTTATCGAAGAAAAAAATAGAAAAGGTAAATGCAAGTTTTAGTATGTGCTATCGACAGCTTCGAAAAGGCACTAATGACGACGACGGCGAAGCTCTTCATTTTTTCCTTTTTTTTTATTCATCCGCATCAGCTAAAAGTAAGCCGCACATCCTGCAGAAACTAGGAAATCAATAACTCTCGCCCCGCCGAGCCGATCATCGCGTTTAATAATAACGCACGCGTCGCGTAATATATAGTTGCAGCAACAGCAGCAGCTCGATATAACGCGCTGCACCAGTGTGTCAATATTTCGCAGGCTGCGTGAAAGAGAGAGAGAGAGAGAGAGAGACTCTTCTATATAGCAACACTACAATATGAGGTGCTCCTTTTTGCTTTCGGATATCGGAAAGTACGGCGAAATTAAATGCAGCTGCACTCTTCGTACCCATATAGCTAAGAGAAGCTACCGCCGCTTCGATATATATTGAAAGTCAAAGGAAAAACTGCACTGTATCCGCACGCGTGGAAAAATAAATCGAAGCACTCAAGTTTCCATGCCTCGCTCGCGCGAGCTTGTAGAGCGCGAGAGACTTGCCCGCGCGAGCTCTTATATAGCAGTAGGTATAAGCTGCACTCTCGAGTACTCGAACGATTGCGCCCGGCCGCGAACGCCGAGCGCTGGATAAATTCAAGCTTCAACTCCTTAAAAACTTTAGACTCGAGACTCGACACAATCAGCGAGAGAGAGAGAGATAGAGAGCCGCCAGTCCCATGCACAAGTTTATATAGCAGTAGTAGTACTACACGGCAGTTGTAGAGAAACAATCGCAATTCGAATTGAAATATCTTTCAGCGCGCGATAGACTTTCGTCTAGAGCTTTGGCTCCGCAAGCTCCGCGAGCTTTTTATCTTTCTCTCTCTCTCTCGGCTCGAGTGCATAGTAGTATGTATGTACATTGCTCGCGAACCTGAAGCTTACGTCTTAGTTCGTTCCAACTCGTTAGCGTGCGACGAGTTTTTCTTGTCTCGTCTCTCTTCTTCGTCTTCTTTCTCTTTCTTTGTTGTTCTCGAACAAAGTGCCGCGAATTAATCGACATTATATTTATAAAATTTACATTGATCGAAAATAACCGACAAGTCGGAGTCGTTATATTATTTCCTTGATTGGAGATCGTTATTATAATTTCGCCGAATATTCATGCGACTCTCGATCGCGTTTCAATAACCAACGGCACTTTTTGTACGCCTCGATTTACGCAGGTACACGGCGACGGGCGGCCTGTACTCTCTGCTCTGGACGTCGGCACTGCAGCTGGTCTGTTTGACGGCGGGCCTGGCGCTGGCCGCGCCCTACGCGGCCCTCCATCCGGCCGTCGCCTTCGAGAAGAGTCTCCTGGCCAAGGACTGGCTCGGCGGCATACGCGACACCGACGTCGGCGAGTGGCTCGACACCATGCTGCTGGCCATCTTCGGCGGAATACCCTGGCAGGTTCGTAATGCTCTTCAAAATATTTACATTGACATTAATGTTTGAGTGGATTGAGAACATTATAATAACCGTACATAAAACCTAGTTTTGATCTATACAATTACTTTGACTTTTCGACTTGTACATTTTAAGATGAAGGTACTCGCCATCTAGCGGTGGAGATTGGCTTTGATTGCGATTGAATTTTTATGCATTTTTGAGAAATTTCAATTTAAATGTTTAAATTTTATTATAGAATTGAATCATTTTGGTTACTTTGTATAATGGACCTGGATCTGCATGCATTTTTTGTATCTTTTATGAAAAAAATAAATCTGTACTGAAAATTCATTTTCAACGATAATTCCCAACAAAAGTATTATAAATACAATTCGTTATTGTTTACTTTAATTGTAATATCTGATTTTACATTAAATCTACATTAATAGTACAATTTCTACAATTTAATATATTAATACTGCCCAGAAACTAAACGCGCTTATTATGTTTGTTCGTGTGTGTCTGTGTTCATAGAGCTACTTTCAACGTATACTGAGCATCAAGTGTCCGCGCTTCGCTCGGACCGTCTCGATCGCGGCGATGTTCGGCTGCCTGGCGCTGGCCGTGCCCTCGGCCATGATCGGCATCATAGCGCGCGACACCAATTGGCCGCAGGTCGAGCAGGCCCACGGCAACGGCAACAGCAGAATCGTCGCTTCGGCCGCCTCCTCGCCCGGCTCCTCGATCTGGCGCAATTCCAACGGCGGCGGGGACGTGCTGCCGATGGTGCTGCGCTATCTGACGCCGCGCTGGGTCGCCTACGCCGGCCTCGGCGCCATCGCCTGCGGCATCATGGCGTCCGCCGACTCGAGCATATTCTCCGTCAGCTCGATGTTCTCGAGGAACGTTTACAAGATGACGATGAGGCCCAAGGTAAAAAGAGCGAAACTTTTTAACAAATGCGATATATTATATGTACGGCTTGAGATGCGCGAAAGTAGTTAAATTGGCTGTGACGTAATTGAACATTAAACATTTCGTAACGTGCGTATGTGCATTAGGCTTCAGAAAGAGAGCTGGATTGGATCCTGCGCATTTCCATAGCGGTAGTTTCTTTTCTTTCCGCCGCAGTTGCTCTTAGTGTTAGCAGTGTTAACTATTTAGCGTGAGTAAATTTATTATATCTATGAAACTATAAAATTATCGTAGATTTCAATTTTGCATAACATCGCCTAAATGACGATGAAATCAGAGCTTTATATTCTGATTTATCCCATTAGATTTTTGTGCGCTGATTTCGTTTACGTGGTGCTGTTCCCTCAACTCGTGTCGGTGATCCACTGGCCGAAGCTCGTCGACTCTTACGGCTGTCTGGCCGGTTACGCCGTCGCAGTCGTCGTCAGGATTTCTGGTGCGTACAAACATTAACACGAAAATTATATATTTCATTTACCTTTAGGCTTTCTACAATATCTATTGTGCTCAGGTGGAGAAAAGAGCCTGGGCATACCAACGTTCGTCGAGTATCCGTTCTACGATCATCAGACGCACAAGCAAAAGTTCCCGTTTCGCTCCACTGCGATGCTGGCCTCGGTCTTCGTTCAGCTCACTGTGAGCTTCTTCACGCGCAATCTCCTCGGCCAGGGCTACCTGCCGGGCTGCTGCGACGTACTGTCGGTTTACGCGCCCAATGCCAAGAATCCGGCAAACGGCGTGGCGCCCAGCAGCTCGGGCGCGGCGCTCCTCGATTGCACCCTCAACGTGAGTATAATTAATTAATTAATTAACTTGACTTTAATAACGCCGATTTATAACTCACGCCCATATAAGTAAAAAAAAAATTCTGTTTCTTTTTTTTTTCTCTATCTTTCGACGCCATTGTTTTTTTTTTTTCTAGAAAATTTTATAATGCGCTTTTCTCTTCTCTTACTCGATATATTTTTTGCTGAAATACGTCTACGTTCTGTTTGTAGGTGAAAAAGAATAAAAGAGTGACATGGGTAAAGTAGCCAACTTTCGACTAAGATTTTTGCAACTTTTTTATCTCGACTTCCACCACACCACCACCACAAACCATCGAATGATCTCCTTTTGCTCCATCGACCCGTTCATAATTATACACAAGCAAAGCCGATCCGAATCCGCATTCAAGTAGTTGATTGAATTCCATCATTAGGATTAGGATTTCACCATTACACTCGTTTAAAACAACGATTAACGTAGATATCGCATCTTCGCACTTAATAGTTTTAAATTTCATCTTATAAATCTTAGATTGAATCCCCGCATAATTTCATGCTATAGAAAACGCTTGAGTAATTCGTCAAGATTAACCGGGGGGAAAAAAAATTGTAAATAATTCGCAGGACGCCTCACCGGGCCACATGTCCGACGCGACGACGCTGTCGAGCAGCCGCACCGATTACGACGCCAGCAGTACCGACACGCAGCTCCAGACGCCCACCACTCCGCAGCAAGTCAGCATAATTTACGGCGGCGGCGATTCTTCGACTCTGGGCAGGAATCACAACGCGGCGCACAAGGCCAATCAGGCGCTGCACAATCTGCGCGAGTCCATGAGCCCGAAAATGACGACGGCGACGGTGGCCTCGCGGCCCGGACTGCACCACTCGAACTCGCTGATGGGTACGCCAACGGCCGGGGGACAGATATTGGGGGTGAAGGGTTTGCAGATGACACCGGCACACATGGCCGACTGCCCGCAGGCGCCCGTGCCGCCGAGAATCATGAGTCCCACCACGCCCATCTCGTTGCGTAAGGATCCTCAATTTTTTTTGTTGCTTTTTGCTAGTAAATTTGATAACTCGAGGCTTTTATTACTGATTTTGCGCAGCACCTTATGCGAAAGCCATACCGACGACCATAATCACGAACGGACGCCTCGAGGGCGATAAGAACCAGTGCGGCGGCGATCGCAGCAACATGGAGCTGAGCCTCAATCTGACGGACGGCTCGGGCATCGTCAAGAAGAACATCAAAGGCGTCAAGCTGATCGGCATGGACGGGGGCGGCGGTGGCACCCTGAGGCGGCCCTCGCTCCAGGGCACCTTTTCGCCGACGCCCTCGGTCGAGATGGTCAACATATTCGATCGTCGACAGAGCAGCGGCTCGTTCGGGCCGAGCTCGCTGTCCCCGATCCCGGGCGTGGAGGCCTGCAAGACTCACGGCACGGCCATGGGCAACGGCGGCGCCGGCGGCCACGTGGGCAACGAGCACTGTCGCATCAAACGCGGCATCGTCAGGCATCACAGCTTCAACGACACCGGCGATCGCAATCTGACCACGTTGGCCCGTCAGCCGACTTATCCGTCGATGCCGCTCAACTCGCTGGTTCGCAAGGGTGGTGGCGGCAACGATTCGCTACCGCCAACGACGCCGACCAGCCAAACGACGATGATGACGACGATGCAGAGGCGCAACTGCTCGAGCCTGCGGTACTCCTCGTTGGCCGACGAGCACAGCTGTCAGGCGGTGGACGCGGCCGCACGGCTGCACGCCACTCTGCGACGCGACAATCGCAACTGCAAGTCCATGATACATCACGGCACGATGGGTCGCTCGCATCACGCGACCGGCAGCACCGGCAATTATCTCGACGACAAGTCGGTCAGTCTGGTGGGCCACCTGCTGGTCAGCCCGACCTACGGCATGTACAACTCGGCGGTCAAGACGGGCTCCTACGACTACTTCGTCGGCAACGACGAGGCGGTCAGTCGATTTTGAGCCGCGTGTCCGCTCCACGGCACGCCGGCTCGTCGACGCTTGCCACCCATCGATCGTTCGTTCTATTGACAGATTTATTTGTACGATGTAGTACATCTTTCAATCGCCCGGGCAAATGCAATATATCTCGTACATACTCGGACTCTCGTATTATGAAAACAAGTTTTTCTTTTACTTCGTTGTTGTTTGATATATGATATTATATATCGTCGTGTACTTAAATGTATTTACTGTATAGAGTTTGTAGTATTGAGCTTGAATCTGGCCCCTTACGTGCAATAAATATAATATAATATATTGTAGTGTCGTGTATGAGATATACGCGTCAATGGATGTAAGCTCGCGAATGAGTCGATTGAATATAATTATTATACATATAATATGTGTACATTTTTAGGGTACGGCTGAGATATAACACGTGCGCTATATACGCAAAACGTCGAGAAGAATTTCTGCAATACCAGTGCCTGTGCATTAAATACTCAAAATGTCTGCTTTTGATTACCCCCCCCCCACAAAAGTATAACGCACACTATTTTGACTCGTAAAACTCGAGAGTCCCCCGCTTTTTGCCACGTGTCCGATAATTCATTTTAATAATCTTCCACAAAAAAATAAACAAACAAACGACAAAGAGTGAGAAAAATAAGCGTGAAATTATCTCGAGCAACAGAAATATATATATTATGATATGCGTATGCGAACACGCGTGACCCGCGTCTAATAATGTAATAACGATATTATAAATGCATGAAACAGAAACGTCCACAAAATGTGCAAATTCACAATTAAATCGGAAACTCGAAGAATTAAATGATATTTTTGCACCCGATGACTACACACTGTATGTAGGTAATACATGAATATGTATTTCTCGTGTATCACACTTATTATACAATAATATCCATAATTATCATGTACATGTAAAGCTATATAAATGCGTCGAAATGGGAATGTTTAATGAATGAAAGAAAATAATGATAAATTAGCCATTCAAATTACGTGAGCGATTCTATAAACATGTAAAGCTTTCGAATGAGTGCAGTATGTGAGCTGCGTGAATTATTGCAAACAATATATTATGCAGTAATCGATTCGCATAATATACTTATACCAGTAATGCATTTCAAAGGGAATCGTGCGTATTGCTGCGTTCCTTCTGCATTTTTCGATGTAGTCTATGGGTTTTTCGATCACTTTCGACTTTTTGACTCGTACATTATGTGTATAACAATAGAGACTTTTAAATGCACGGAATTCCTCGTTTTTTTGCAGACACAAATAATAATAATAATGGAAATGAATTTTTTACCTCCAATCAATTTTCTACCCAATATATTGATGTTCGACTGAACCGAAGACTTCTTTTTGAATACCGATTTTTGATCTTTATACCTTTTAAAGGTATTATTATGGACTGGAAAACCTTGTAGGAACCCAGTGAATGCACAATCTTTCTGTACTTTTGTATATATTATAGAAAATAATGAACAAAGTTGTATCGAATACAATCATGTACATCTCACACCTGAAGTCAGTATTACGAAGTAGAATGTAATTTAATGAAAAGTAATCGTCAAAACGCGATTAATGTTATAAAAATGTAATTAAAAATTGATAGGGTAAACGCGAATACATAATCAACGTAGATTATTGTAAGCTCAAAATTTAACTTTTATTCCAAATCTTGTCCCGAATGCGAGTAAGGCTTGCCTTACATCATTTGCTATAATGAGTAATAGTAACCTCGCGAGTAAAAAATATTCAACGCTAGAGATGTCACTGAATAAACAATTATTTCGCATTAATTTTTTCAACTGTATTTTATTGATTAGACCACATGTTAACGAAATTCCGATCATATTTTAAAGTGCCTCGACAGAACGATTCAAAATTACGCGATCAAGTCTTGAAACAAAATTAATGAACCCCATACAATTTCCGAAGAGTATTCAACAATTAATTAAACAATATCCTAGTCGTAAGAGTAACATTGTGTATAGTCGCATAAAAATTAATGTACTTAATTTCGATTTCCGTTCGTTTTCCCAAAAACGACAGACCCCTGCGTCGTCGTACGTGAATTACGTGCCAAAAAATAAGCTTAGGAATAAAAAAAATTTAGTCGTAATGTAATGTAACATTACGTAAAATTAATGATAAACAATGCTATACGAGCCCCCGCAGCTACTTTTAGTAGGTATGTTTATGCAAAAATTATGCATTTCCCATGCTTGACACAACTCGTTACGTTTAAAAATCAAAATCGAATAAGCCAACTTGAAGATGGTCTGAAGTCATGGCATTCTATCCGGGGTATTATTATAATATTATTATAATTATAATTATTATAATAATAANCTACTCATGACGACTCTGTTGCCGAGATCGTTATTGTCATTATTATTATTATTATTATTATTATTATGAGCGAGAAAATCTGAATGGAAACGGGAATGCATTTTGTGACACTGTATGATGTGAAATGCATTTAAGAAGTAGTGTGATCATTTTGACCTTACTTAAGAAACAAGTAGACTGTATATTTTCTTATGGTAAAGACAAGATGAACGATTCATTTTGATAAGTATAATTGCGTGACAGAGGTGTGTTTGATTGGTATTATTACTATGTACGTCACATAAAATCACGTAATAAAAATTTTTTAGCCCAAACCACTCATGTTGGTATATTTATTTTTCATATAAAAAATTTCGAAAAATAAACAATATTGTCATTCGTTTCATTACAATAATAATCTTTTATTTCGCATATGTACACATGATTTTCCTCAAATTCATTAGGAAAAGGAGGAATTAATTTTTAATATACAAGGTAAAAACTTATACTACAGGAATTGTTTTTACATTTGCTTTATAAGTTGAAAAAAAACATTTATAACCAATCAATAAATAGCTAAACCATATTATGTTTCAACATCTCATTTACAATCATTAAGCATCATTTAGTCAACACATAATCAGCATATTCCATTTGTCATGAATATTCCAACATTTTCAACTGCATAAGAATTATATGATTTGCGTTGAAAAGCTACAGTGACTGAAATGATCATAAGAACAAATACGGCAGATGAATCCAACATTACGTAAAATGTGCGCAAAATAAAAAAATACTAAAAAGTTATTTAACTGTCGTGGTTGCACACTAATTGTGCAAAATCTTTACAAAAGAGAAAACGTCCTATTGGTTTGATGAATATTTTTTTTTGTTATATTTATCAATTATACTAAATTCTTAGATTAAGTGGAAAATCATATTTCGTAGAAAAATTATGAAGACCACTTCATTTAATTTTTCATGATATGCCAGATTTACATAAGTATAAACACACATTTGGCGCAAAATAAAAATCCAATCGATAGAACTATTAAAATTATATAAGTAACTTATTTTTCAAGTTATTTTTGCTTTATTGTTAACTTGATATTCTTTTTTTGTTCTGTACAATTAAATATAATTATTTAAAATTATTACTGGTATGGCAGAAATCATTTTCCTCCATTAATTTCATTGGAAAATGACGGAGTTACTTATAGAATTGCATCTTCAAATAACAGTCTTTCGATAAATACATTCAATCCATAAAAATACATTATAAACCTGTGAAAGTATCAAACTTTAGCACGTGCGTATTTTTAATAACACTGAAAACACTTGAGTTATCTAACAATTGTTCATATAAAAGTAAAGCTTTTCACATTTTACACATAAACATATGATAATCTTTGTGTTACATGAACAGTATCAATTTAAGAAAATATGTTCGTATTTAAAATTTGTTGGCACATAGCCAAGGTAAAAATGTGTCTCTTAGTCGAGACTATTATACAATATTTTCATGAGATTGCAAATGTTTCTGAACATCTCCCATAGAAGGGAATCTTAAACAACATTTCGGGCATGTATGATTATGTTTTAATTCAATGTGCTGCCTCAGCTCTTCTTCATTTGCACACAATAAAGGAGTTGGACAATAATCGCAAACGTAACAATAAACCTGCGATGATGGTTGTGGATTATGTGCTGTTTCCATATGTGTTTGAAGTTCCATGTTTGAACCAAAAGATGTATTACAAACAGCGCATGCAATACTTGTTTGCAAATTATTAGGTCGTACAATCACACTGTAACGCTGTCTTTGTGGAACTTGCGATACAGGAAGGCGATTGTTTGGAACATGTTGAGATTGTGGAAGCGTCCGATGAACTTGTTGTTGTCCTTGCCGATGCTGCTGTTGCAGTTGGTTTTGTAGAGGCTGTTGTGCTTGTCGTTGTATCTGTTGTTGCTGCTGTTGCTGTTGTTGCTGTTGTTGCTGTTGTTGCTGTTGTTGCTGTTGTTGTAGTTGTTGCAGATGGTTTTGTTGTACTTGCTGTTGTTTATTAAGTTGAAGTTGAACCATTTGTTGTTGGTGCCACTGCTGTTGTTGTTGCTGCCGTTGCTGTTGTTGTTGTTGTTGTTGTTGTTGTTGTTGTTGTTGTTGTTGTTGCTGTTGTTGTTGTTGTTGTAGCTGTTGCCGCTTTTGAGTATATCGTTTGATATTTTGCAACTGTTCTTGGGTTAGTATCAATTGTCGCTGTTGCTGAGGATGTAACTGTTGTTGCTGTAAATTTTGCTGTTGCTGTTTTTGTAGCTGATGCTGTAGTTGTTGTTGTTGCTGCTGCTGCTGCTGTTGCTGAAGTTGTTGCTGCTGATGTTGCTGAAGTTGTTGTTGCTGCTGTTGCAGTAATATCTGCTGTTGAAGTAACATCTGCTGTTTCTTTTGTTCCTGATGAAGTTGGCGTTGATGATTTTTCTCATGAACCCTTACATCATTCATATTATCAGCTTGAAACGAGCACGAATTAAATTTACAAGAAAAAATAGTCGGTGTTTTTTCCTGCGCTATTAGCTGATTCATTTGATTCTCGTTATTATTTTGAATAGGTTGTAAATTTATTTGAACCATTTGTTGATTCGACGTGTTCGTGTTTCTGGCGGGTATGTTAGAGTGATTCTGAAAAGTATTTTAAAATAAATCAATTTTTTATTATCGCATTCAAAAATTAATCACATTCAATATTATTTAATTCAATAAAAAAACAACGGATCGCTTATTTGTTGAAATAAAAAAAATTAAGAAAAAAATTTTAGACGGATTGAGCCATTCCTTAAAATTCACATAACTTACGGTGTTCATTTGAGGTATACGAGTAGCGGCTCCAGAAGGTCTCTGACCGATATCGTTGCGCTCAGGCAAGTTGATAGGGCCAGATCGCGAGGCGGCAGACGGATTTGACAACTGATTGTTCCCGAAGTGATTATAGGCTGGCGGGGGTGGTCGTTGATGAGTTTGTTGTGCCATTGACGATGAATTCTGACCGATGTTCTGCGACATTATCAAAGGATTTTTGACAAGCATTTGGGAAATACCCGCAGAATTGACCGTAATCGGCACCGTGGTCAGACTCAAATTCGGCTGCATCAGCGGCATCGCTTGGGCATCTGTCTGCATGCCGTTGATGTTGTTGTATCGCTGTTGATTTACCGGCGCGACAACAACGTTGGTGACGGACGTAGCAGGATCGTACCAGTAAGGCTGTTGCACGTTGCTTATACTCTGCTGTGGCACCTGTGGCGGTGGCTGCGGCGCCGACGACATCGATGGCTGAACTTGTACTCGTTGCGGTTGACCACCAGCCATGAAAATTTTTTGTCTCATCTGTTTGACGAAAGCGTTTGACGAAAGTTTATGCTGATTAGTGTTACTGATTATTCCACGAAGGGTTGGGGAAAATTGTGGGGCTACTGGTGTCAATGGTTTGAAAATTCCGCTCGGTTTTGACGCATTAGCAACATTTTCGGAGACCTTTCGGCTAGTGTCCTGTAACTCGGCAATCGAACGTACTCGCAGCAATGGTTTGGTCACTATCGCTGAGTTTCCGTTAGTTTCTGGTAACGAAGTAGGCGTGAAATTTTCTGCTTTCTCTTCGTAAGCCATCGTGGTTTCGACGAGCTCCATAGGCTCAATTTCTTCTTTTTTTTGGCCCATTTGATCCATTGCATCGTTGACTAGAACTACTTCAAATGATGGAATATTTGGTCCCTGACCAGTTTGAACTTCTTTGGCAGTTTCATCATTTTGTTCGTTATTGCTCATCACTGGAAATTGATTATCATTTTCTTTGTCAGTAAACATTGTTTCAAGTAAAAGTAAAGGATCCCCCATCGTCGCAGAAGTCTGATTTTGTATGCTCACTAAAAGATAAAATATTATGTAATATGTAAGTATATATTTATTAAGAATAATAATGCAATTATTGCTTGAATTTACTTGTAGGAATTTGTTCTGCCAGTGGTTCTATTTGGCTGGATTGATTGTCACCTTCAACATCAGGACTGTTAGACCTTGAATCGAGAATAATCATTTCAGGACTACATTGGTTTGATAGCAGAGTTGGCGCTGACACAATCGGGACTGAATGATTTGTCCTAGAAATGGTTTGTTTATTCGCAGAAATAGTCTTAATGAACAAGGTTTTGGGAATGGTGCTTATTGGATTGACAGGCCCATTGATTGTTTGCTCAGTTTGCTGTTGTTGTGCTAATGCCTGGTTTGCTGGCAAACTCTGTGATTGGTTTGACCGCTGACGCTGTCGTGGTTTTTTCTGCTGCGTCGAAACTGTGGGAGCTTTATTTAAACCACTAATAGTATGTGTGTTCATTGTGTGCTCGTTCATCAAACTTTCATTCTGAAATCCTATATGACATAACTCGCAGGAGTATCGTGTTTTCACGTAATACACTAGAGAAAAGAAAATTTCATTTTTGTGCTCCGCCATGCAGTGCTCTATGAAATTCTCGAATGAATAAATTTTAGGACCGTTCAACGCCATTAAATTGCATGATTTGCACGTATAAAGCTCCAAGACCGTATTGTGCGCCTTTTTCCAGTGCTCTGTCATTTCGTTTTTATTGGGGTGCGCCGAGTTGCAAGCAGCGCATCTGTAGATAAAACACTTGGGGTCCGTGCCTCGCACATGTTCGCAGTGAAATTGTGCCGGGGTACTTTTCAGATGATTGCGCTCGTCGCAGTGTTTGTCGTAGTCCTCTTTTTTCACGTAATACTGCTTGCAGATATCGCAGAGCAGCTTCAACGACAACATCTCGTAGCTCAGTGGAGCCACGGGGCTGTTGGCGTTTTCCTGCTTTTTCTGTTGCGGGCGTTGCTGCTGCTGCGGCGGGGACGACGTCTGAACCGACGCATCACACGCACTGTCGTGCTTCTGAAAATCGTTCTCGGTACAGAACGGCGCTCTGCACTTTCTGCAAACGTATTCGGACACGTAGAAGAAGCCCTCGCTCTTCTTTCTCAGCAACCCATTCGATCCGTTGTCCAAATAGTCGGGAAAGTCAATGACCGAGTGCCTTGGGAACGAGAGCTTGCTCGCTACGAAATCTGGCACTTTGTTGTGCCGATACCAGTGATTGTAAAAAATACTGCCCACCCCGAAGAAGCATATTTTGCATATGTTGCAGCAGAAAGTGATGTTAGCCTGTAACCATTTGACCGCGTGATTTTCCAAATGCAAACGCATGTCAGTGTGATCATTTAGTACGGATGGACAGGCGGTGCATAAGAGCTTTGGAACTTTCTTGTCTGCACGGTTGCGGGTAAGTCGGCACTCAGGACTCTCGCGATAATGTAATTCGAAGCAATCAAGGCGACGAAAAATCACGTTGCACGTCTTGCACAGCAATACCATTTCAACTTGTAAATCTCGTATTGTTCCCATCTCGTGCGCGTGACACGTACAAATGCGGCTTGGCATGTCACTCATTGAAGCGGTAACTTGAGCAATCTGAAAATCATGAATTAATATAGTGATTTTTATGTATTCGAGCAAAGTAGGTAATTTACAATTAAAAAAAAAAAAAGAAAAAAAAAGAAAAAAAAAGAAATAACAGAAATGGCTCACCTCGGGTACGATTTGGCCGTTGGGCAGACTCAAAGATACGCTATTAATATTGTTATTACAGAGTGTTTCATTATCGTTGTTACTTGGCTCATTAATTTCTCCTGTTTTGTTTTCTTCATCAAATGAGTCTCCTTTTGCAGCGGCATATGCGCTTCGCAATTCCGACCCATCATGCGTCAAAATGTGTTCGAACAACTTCTCTGGATTTTCAAACCATTTGAAACACATAGAGCATGTCTGACTGGTCGAGGCTGGTTGTAGAGGCCTTTTTGTCTTTTTATCCTTTTTGGCTCCATGCGTTTTATCCCAATGTCCTTTCCAAGTTTCTATTGATAAAAATAATTTTTCGCAAGAAACATTGTTTTTGAGGCCTGCACATTTATATTTTCTTACTCCATTTACCAACACTTCTTGAAAGTAATCTTTTAAATATTCATCTATTTTTGAATTACGAACAAGAGTAATAGATTTTGCAGTTTGTTGATCGTCACTAGAATGTGCTGTTTGCTGATTGACACTAGAATTTGCTGTTTGTTGATCGACACTAGCATTTGCTGTTTGTTGATCTATACTAGAATTTGCTTTTCGTTGATTGACACTAGAACTTGCTCTATGTTGATCGACACCAGAACTTGCTCTATGTTGATCAACACTAGCAGCTGTTGTTTGTTCCTCAACACTAGAACTTGTTGTTTGTCGATCAAAACTGGTAATTGTACTTGAATCTTTACTAGGTGATGGTTCAGTTGAATTAATTATATCAACTGTTTTTTTGGGCAAATTGATCAAAGCATTAGAATCTTTTTCATTGGAGCTTTGATTTTTAATTTCTGCAATTGAATTTTGGTAATTCTTTGTAACTGAGTTAGTCAAAATTGGTATGCTTCTCCTTTTATTAACTTTAGTTGATAATTCCTGTTGTTTAATAGAATTGACAGTATTAGATTCAGCTATGGTTGCATCATTACTTACTTTATGGACCGTTACTGAATCCTCTAATACTGATTCTTCATCAACAGTTCTAGTAGAATCTTTAATAGTTGAATTATTATCAGAAGTATTCAAAGTTGATCTTGGGCGAAAAGTACACAATTTTGAACGTTTTTCACTAGTTGATGGTGTACTAAAATTTGAATTCATAATTAAATGAGTATATTTTGCTGTGAGAATTTCTATTTCAGTAGCTGAATAATCTTGATAAGGTGTTTTTCCACAGATTGTTTCAATTCTTATTAACTGAGGATGCAAATCTTTGAGTTTAAATTGATTTATTATTTTTTCAGAGAGGTGGAATCTTACAAATTGACTATTGGTTTTCTTTGGCTTATTAGGGATTGATAAACTTTCTATTTCAGATGCTTCTTCATTACTATTGATTGATGCTCTTGAAGATTTATGAACCAACTTTTTTAAATCTGGTATTTTAAAAGAGTCTAGTTTAGTATTTTTTATCAAATCTTTTTCTGCAAGTGCAGTAGTATTTGTGTCACAGGAATCTTGCACGGAATTTTGACATACAACTGCTTCAGATTCCTTTAAATTATCATTATTTTTTAGTCTTCCAGTTAATGTTTGATGTTTCTGATCATACTTTATTCTATGACGTGTAACACTTCTGGTACGTCTTAAAACAGTGTCATCAAATGATACATTTAAAGTACCTTGACTTCTTGTTTTAGGACGTTCAACTTTTTCTGAACCAACTATGCAGCTTTTTCTTCGCTTAGATGTTATCCTTGCAACCTCTTCATCATCTTCATCACTATTAGAACTGAAATGATATTTGAGAGGACTTATATTTTTAGGTGGTGGTGATTCAGATAAGATCCTTTTAATACCTTTCCTTTTACTTTGGTATTTGATTGAATCATTGCTGCTCTCACTTAGATCTAAAATTGCTTCTGTTTGATCATCATTTTTCATATCAGAATTATTCAAAATTTTTTTGTTATCCTGCGTTGAAAAATGAGGTTTATTCTCACAGTTAACTTTTTTTAGTAATGAAGTATGGATCTCACTGTGTAGATACTTCTTCATTAAATTTAAAATAGTAGGATCAGATGATTTATCCACTTTTTCTACTAAAACCAATGGAAGAGAGTTCTGTGAATTTTCTTGACTTTTACAACTTATATAAGAATTACAATTATTCATGCTGTTTCCAGAGACACAATGACTTGATTTTGAAGTGACATTTATTTTCACTGGTGATTGTTCTTGTTCAGTCTTCACTTTAAGTTCTAGATTTTCCAAAAAACCTTTTTTAATTGGTGGAATGCTAATATTTTTGTTTTGGTTTGAATTGACATTTACATGGCAACCCTTATTTTCTTCTTTCATATCACTATTTTCTAAAGAAATGGATTCTGCTTGAACGAGATTAGATGTAGATAACGTACTACTACCACATACTCGTTTTTTGGGAACATAAGGAAGAACTCTTTGTCCTGTTACTTTATTTTTGTCTACTTCACTTTCGCCTGAAGATTTGTGCTCTTTATTTTCATAATTTTTTTTTTGACAGTCTACAAATTTATCGAGAAATTCTTTTCTAGCATGTTTTGAGATCAATTTTCCTTTAAATATGGAAGTTCTACTGCAGTGAAATTCTTCTTCGTTAAAACATTCTGGAGACTTGGGTAAAATATTAGATAATCTAAGACTCTTCTTTTCACCATTTGTGTTATTTACAGGAGCGTCATAATAATTTCTATCTACGAGTGTTGTTGCATTTCCCTCTGTTTGTTTAGTTTGTTTTTCTGGTTGATCCAATTTTTCAACATGACTTTCAGAATTCATTTTTGGCTTCTTCTTTTTCTGTTTAACCACATTTCCACATTTCCATTGAGACTTTCTTTTTCGAGATTTAGTTTTATGAACTTTTGAAATAATTATAGAATTTACTTTTTTATTATTTTCCACAATTTTATCAGTTATAACAGCAGAATCATCATTTTGGTGGGGATCTTGAACTAGTGAGTTCTGAGTTTCTCTTTGTTCTTTTCGTTTTTGCATTATTTGTGCAAAAACTGTACTTCCAAAATTCTTTGTTCCACTGGATTTGCCTTTAGAAGATAAAGATTCTTTACCTTCGTGATCAGCCATTTTTATTGTTTCATTAATATAACTTTAATATTTGTCATAAAAATATCTACTTTTCTACAGGATTCTGCACAGCTATCTGAAACAAATATAATTTTACTTCATAGTGTCAACAAAAATATCAATGAATCATTTGATCAGTTAAAATATAGATACATATGAGTGAATAAAAATAAATTGACAAAATTGATGTTATGAAAATGAAGATACTGGTCATCAACAGACTTCAAACAGAAGTGTAAAAAAAATTGAATCCTTCAAAATTTTACTGACTCAAATTTTCATTGAATAAGAAAAATCTAATCAATTTGTGTCTAGTTAATAAATTTTTAAAATTGAAAATTAAACATGAATTAATATGTCAGTGCAACAAATACAAAAGAAAAACTACTGAGAGTAAAATTGCGAAAAAGTAGTATTGATACTTGAATAGAATAAAACAATTGTAACAATCAATTGAATCTCAGAGTAAAATATTTTGGAGTTATCAAGCACAAACACTTAACCTATATCGATGCGAATAATGAGCAATGAGAAAAGTATAGCGCGAATTATAAGTGAACGGAGAATTCATGAGAAAATTATGTAAAAATTGATTACTAGTTAGAATCATCATATTATAAAACAGTGGAATAGCGTTGCCCACTGGAACTCGATAAATAATATGCCCGAAGAATATGTGTCACAGTTCACACTGCACAAATAATAATAAAAACCACTGGTGAGAATCGAGATTTCGCTTGTACACTGTTTCTGCGTGTTGAGAAGACTTTGAAACAAAATTTGAAACAAAGACGATACAAGCGATCAGAGAACAGCGAGATGTTAGGTATAAACCCGGGCAAGGATGACCCCGGCAACGAGTTATTGCAAAACTGACACTCGTGAACTCGTTGCGACCTGCATTGTAAGACGAGTACAACGCTTTATTGCAATTTGCACGAGAGCAATGAGAGATGCTTACCTTGATGGGACTCCGTGCGTGGATCGCATCATTATTACGGTGCAAAAATTAAAAGACTCGAAGACGGGTTTCCATCGGTTGGGCACACGATGAAATTCGTTGACGCGATATTTTCCCACTGAATTCTAAGAACTATAGTACATTTCGGTACCGTACACTCGTAGAGCCTGTGTTATCGCGCTGGGCAGCGTCTGCTAACTGGCTGTAGAACGGTACATTTTAAACCCTTGTATAGCATGTGGTTGACAGCGCTCACGTGGGAGATTCTGAACTGCACGCCCACTACCGAAACATTCAGCCCTTAAATGTGGTGTTTTTGAGCTATGATGAATCGAGGGTGGGCGCGATGTTCTGCAAAACCACCACACGGCCGCTGTTCAGAGTCGAGGTTCATCGAAGCCGATGGGACGTAGTGTAGCTCCGTGTTGTTTGTATACGCGCAGTGCGCACTGATTCCTACTAGCACGAATATCGCCGATGACACATGCGTGATGGCGACTATCGCAGATTCTACACATTCAAAGTACACGCGTTTTGATCGCCGATGTAAACAAAGCGTAGCTCGTAACACAGATGCGATAGTGCTCTTGCCTCATCGACGAAACAGCTTTACTTTTGATTTATTTAAACACAAGTGGTTACATTTCTATAGAGAAACTAATTGAATTAACCTAGAAAATAGATTATACAAGCTGCGTAATACAGTCTATTGAACTTGAATTAATTGATTAGTTATGTGTACCCATTCTAGTCTTAGACAATGCCTGATTGCTGAAAACGCACGCGTACAGCAGATCCCCTCCTTAGAAAAATGACTTTTCATCGAAAAAAAATTAACCTCTACATAGGCACTCAAGTTATACAAGGTCAGCTAAAAAGGAAAGTAGCTCCGAAAATGAGGTCGTCATTTTTACTATTTTTTTTATTTTTAATGTACCTTCGCCGAAAAAAAGTGAAGTGGACGATAAGACTCAAATTTCCAGAAAGACCCAACGATACACGCTAGATAAGTCGAGAAAAAAAATACTTTTAGTACGCAGCACGACATCAATCTGGTACTACAGCAGCTCATAACAAAGACTGTTATGTGCCAAACTGACACTGATGCATGAGAGAAAAATTTGCGCATGGGCCGGCTCGGAGGCCGGAGCGCTCGTAAAACGCACGAGTTCGGCTTCGGAGTTAACAGCCGATGCTTGTGTTGGAGAAAGAAGTGTGGGTGTATGTCATGCTTATGTGAGATGCTGATGTTGTGCCGACTTTTGTTTTGACTAAAATCGCAGCGCCTCCGAGTGGCGATTCCGAAAAATTTCTCTTGCGCTCGGCAAACGGCACTTGTTTCTTTTAAACAATATCGACGATACGAAAATCGGTAACGGATCGTATTACGTTTCCGATCTCATTTTACGATGCTGAATTAAAACGTTTGATCATAGTCGTTATAGTCATGAGAAAAAATCTGATACGTCGGTATCGGATAGGAAAAATAATTCTTTCTTCAAGACTAAAATTCGAAGAATAAAAAATCGTCAAAAAATCGTTAATAATTTCCTGAATTCGTTAAAATTTAATGAGAATTAAGCAATGTAACATTATAATTTTATAATTCAGCTTTAAATTACAAAGAAGTCCGTCACTCTTGCTGCTTTATCTTTTTCTTTCCATCTCTGTCTCTCTCTTTCTCTCTCTATCTCTCTCCTTCTCTCCGAGCTCTTTTTCTAATATTCTCTCTCTCTCTTTCGCTCGTTTTATACTGTTTCGATCTACCTCTCCTTCTTTCTCGTTTTATTTCTTCTGCTTTTCCTCTTCTATCTCTCTCGCTCTTTCTCTGTGTGTGCCTATATATAAACTTCTTTCTCTCAATGTATGTTATATACCGACTCTCTTCTGCAAGCAACTGTGCTATTCCCTCCCTTCCTAATGTGCATGCGCTGAATGTTGCGGAAAGAGAGAGAGAGAGAGGTGAGCGCGCGAGAGCGAATGTGAGAGAGAGAGAGAGAATGAGAGCGAGTGAGAGAGAGATAGAAAGAGAGAGAAAGAGAGAAAGAAAGAAAGAGAGAAAGAGAAAGAGAGTGCGAGAGAGAGAGAGAAAGAAACGAGACGCGAGGAATAAGCTCTGCAGTGTTGCTCACACTCGATAATACAACAAATTTTTTTCACACGTACTCTGCCTTGTGTGCATCAAAATACGGAGTGACAAATTGCGCGAGATAAGGGTTCAACATTGTCACATTGGACTTCTGCTCTTTTCGATAGGAAAGAGACGGACGAGCTGTAAACGCGCCAAGTTTCGGTGGTGAATTTCGTCCCAAATATCAGACACCGAAGCGACAGGCCAGCCGAGTGTGTTTGCGAACGGTTCATATGTGTATGTGTGCTATATGTATACAGCACCAGCTCTCACGGTGTGTGCTTACAATTTATGTACACAAATTTCATATACTAGGCATCCTTTTGGACTCAAAATGTGCAATGAGTCGACAAATTGCTAATAATGTCCAATTTCTACGACGTGAGATATGAAATCTAGCCTAAATGCATGCTGTCGTGGGGTCCCATCAATTTTTACGCACAATCAAATAGATAAAGTGAGTATTGCTATTTTGTTATAACGTTTGCTTGGTATTGTACTTACGCTAGTTTCTGTTATGACCTTGCGCATTGTATATACACCAAGAGTTTATGTGAGTTTATGTGAGCGGTCGACGGTCGTGTGTCGCGCTTTTTTTATTATCGTTACGGTGGTATCATGTACTTATATAGCACTATATATGAACACGCAGATAAACAAAAGCACTTGACAATTGTAGCGATCGCGCTGCGTGAAATAAATGCAACAAACGAGAAAACGTCAACTCGGTGATTTTTGACAGTTTTAGGTAGTTTTATGCGGAAAAAAGTTTTTACATATCAACAATGATCAATTATAATGCTCAATTATTTGGCTAATAGATTGTATAAGCTTTATTCGTGAGCTTTTTCACGTTAATACAAAATGTACATATAACAAACTGTCAACTTAATCTATTTTTGTGAGTCATTTGAAAAATAATTTTTACCATTGAATTCTTTGTTTTTTGCAGGAGCCACGATGAACGACGACGATTCTACAGTAGTCACAGGAGCAGTTGAAACAATAGAAATAAAACCAGAATTAACAGAACTTCTTATTGGTTCCAAAGAAGAATCGCATTCAGAAGAAGAATCATCTTCTGGCTCCAACTTTGAACACAACAGTAAAAAGTGCAGCTATGTGACTGTTTCTGGTGAAGTGATCGATGTTGAAACTGAAGATATTGTACAAACTCCATTTTTCCTAGAAAGTTATTTTCTAGACAAAGATGAGTTTCGAGATCAGTTTCTTAGTGCGCCTTGTATGGAAGAAAGAGTGATTGAGATTGATAGAGTTACTTGTTACGAATGTGACACTGCATTTTGTAGTGAGCAAAGACTACTAGAACATCTCATGAAACATATCGATGTTTATAAAATGGGATGCAATATTTGTGATAAAGTAAATATGAATACCTAAAAAACATCACAACTAGTCAATAAAATATTCAAGTATTTATTTTATTTTTTAGGATTTAAATTTAGAAGAAAAATTTCAATTACATATGATGGCAGTCACTTGGCAAAGTATTTATTATTGTGATATTTGTAGAAAGTCATGTGCTGGTGTTGTACGATCAAAGGTAATTTAATTATTTTACATTAATAACTGAAAATCAGGATTAATATATATTTTTTTTCTTTACAATAGAGTCAGCCTCCTCCACCAGGAAAAATCTATATGTGTCACGATTGCGAATATTTTACTAAACAAGAAAATTTAAAGTTCAATAGTATACGTTTCCATTTAAATATTGAATGCAATGCAGTAAACTGTGATCCCCCTAGACCGCCACCAATCTTACCTCTGCCCACACCACCTCCTTTACCTCCACCGCAACCACCACCTCCTCCTGCTGTTCCTATTCCTCCTCAGCAATCAATTTCAGCACCAACAGAAGTACTGCAAGATAACAAACAAAAACTTGTTGCTGATGTTAAACTAGATGACTGTAATGGATGGTCAACAAAAGATCCAAGTTCAGAAATCTATGATAGTGTTGTATGCAAAGTTCCACCAAAGAAAAAAGAAAACATGAGGTGTCGGGGACCTAAACCAAGGGTGAAAGTAGTGAGCGAAAGCATGAGGCATACTTTAAAAATGTCTTCTAGAGTTAGCACACGGGCTTCAAATAAATTGTTGTGTAAATATAAATGTAAGGATTGTCCAATATCATTTGCAGATGAAGGATCATTAATAAAACATGTGCGCGAAAAGCATAGTTTTCATAAAATAAACTATGAGTGTAAATTGTGCGGCAAAGATTTTTCACAACAACGGTGTTATGAAAACCACATGAACTATCATCAGCGTCAAAAAAATCATATATGTTTTGTGTGTAATGATACATTTATATCAAAACGCAAATTGGAGCAGCATACGTGTCATAAACCTAGAAGTAAATTTTTAGGTAGTCATCCAAATGAAGGTGCAGCTCTTGATCTTCGAAAAAAAAAGACTAAGAATGCTGCACGATAATTAAAATTAAAAGTGCAATAGTTAATAAGTTTACATTAAATATTGGGCTAAGAAAAGGCTAGTGTGTGGATGTTGACTTTTTTTACAAATCTTCTTATTACTGTACATTAATTTTTCTTATTGTCCCAGCAAAAAATTACAATTGTTTTTTATTACAATTTTTAGGTTTATTATAATGATCTGTTAGCGCATAAAAGGCTGGGTACAAATGTTCCTAAGATATTAAAGAGAATTGAGTTGATAAATTATTTTGTAATAAAACGTGTTACGTCCATTTTGTTAATTAAAATAATCATTGGAAATTAAAAGTGCAAATAAAGGAAAATAATATTTACTGAATGATTTCTAAAATTGCAATTGTACTTATTCATAAAAATCTTCATTAATAATCACGTGAAAAAAATTTTGTTTTTTTTCCCCAATATGAATGATTGATAATAACGATACCAAACGGATCGTTATGTTTTTAAAATATATGGAAAATGATAATAAAAAGACCTTTTTATAAATACGGTATTATTTGTTAATGCATTTAATTTTTTATTAGATAATATGTCACAAATTATAAAAGTGATGATCAAACCAGGGACTTTATTATTAGTGTTGTATTGTGAGTAAAAAAATAGTTGATAATGCAAGCCCCAATGGTTTTTGATTTTAAAAAATGCATTATTAAATACCATTAGATATTGACGATTTTTATATAAACGATGCAAGATTTACCAGAATTGAAATAAACTATTTTTATATAATTTAAAGGTACATGATTAAATGTATATTTGCATTCATAATTTTATCTCAATCTTTAAAATCTGATAGTTGTTGAATGGCAAGCTTATAATGTGGTATTTTGCATTAAGGCTGAATAATAATTTTACCATACGAACTTACCAAAATTAAAGACAAAATTTATGAAAATTATGAATAAGTCTATATTTTATCTTTTTTGCATTGAGCCATGTATTATACGTGACGAATCGATGATTTTTTTACCATTATTTGACTGATGGTATATAATAATAGTTATGCAGGCGTTTTTGCACTTTCATACTTATTCACAACCGAATGAGGAGACGATTGATACAATCTTAATTAATAAAAATTAAATAAATTTTAAAACGATATATTTCCTAATAAATGAAATCTAGGTAAACATTTCTACAATTGTATAATTCTGGGCACTTCTGATTTTTCGATTAAACTCAATTAAACGAAAACCTCTTTCATCTCATATCATTTATCATATCATTTATCATTAATCAACAAATACACTTGAAAATTTCTATCCAAATGTAAGTATCTACGAAGAAACTAATAAGTGTACGCTAAAACACACTTTAAACTCTAAAAAATCAAATCAACGAATACAACTGAAGAACTATTATGATACATAATAATAATCAAACCAAATAGAGTTCTCGTTTAATACAACCATACAATCAAACCAAATAGAGTTCTCGTTTAATTGACATCGTAATAAATAAGATATTGAAAATCAAAACGTGTTTGTAAGTGTATCTGTACAGTCAAAACACAATGTAAATAAATTTGTATCATACAAGTAAAAAATCAGTACAATATAAAAAAATTTATTAATACACGTTATTGGAAATCAAGTTCATAATTTAGTTTTATAGTTGTACTTTGAGTCAATTATGGAAAAAAAAATATTAGTATTCAGCATGTTCTATTCATTTATGTAATGTATATGAACAATACGCATGGAATTACATTTTTCACTTACTCGTCAGTCTCCGATAGCCAATTCATAATTTTTTCATATATACTTACTCACATATATACATAAATGCATACATCGAGCAAAGATTATAGTTCCTTTATGAAATGGCTACATATAAATATTTTGTGTACTGCCAAAAATTAATATAAAAGCAAGTGTTTTCACTTTGTGCATAGTATTCATTTTTTTCTCGTTTGAAAATTAATTTAAAATATTTCAAGCAAGTCAACTTTCATAACATAAACAAAGCTGAATTCAAAACTGATGACTAGCTGATGAGATTTTAATAAAAAACTTTTAATGAAAAATACATAACGAAAATCCTATTATTTTTTTTCGAATTTTAAATAAATCACAATACGGATTTATTACATGCTTTAGGTTTTTATGTAAGATAATTTAACAGATATATTATGTGATTTTATATTTAATTCTAGTAACACTATTATAGTATCACGTTATTTCCATGATGCTAAAAAAAACAAATATAATATATTATATTTAATAAAATAACATTAATGAAAAATATGTTTTTATGATATACTAAAATAACTATAAACAATACAGTAAATTTTTTTCAGCAAAAATTCTAACTCACAAGTTTAATTTTGCAATATATTTCTTTTTTTTCATTACTTAGCTCCGCATGTACTGTCCTTACTTTCATTCCATTGTATGTTTGTCTTCGTAGTATTACAAATAATTTACCTTACAGTAATATTTATGCTTCTTGCTCTATTGCCGTTAATGTCAGGAGTAATAGTAAAGATAAATGCTTTCGAATTCGAAATGTCGATAAATTTTCTTTCTTTAACTAGAGCTAATATTAAACCTCTTTTAAGCACTAACGTGTAATTCTTTACTCGATAACATATACTCAGTCGAAAAATAGCACAATTTGTCAATCAACACTTGCAAAGTCGTCTAAAATACTAAACATCTTTGTTATCACATTAATCTATGTACATTGACTTCATTTATCCTCACGCATTGACTTGAATTCAGGTAAGAGAGATAGAGTGTAATCTACTTTACAGCTATATACAAATAATTTCTCTAATTTTCAACATAATTCTACAGCGTTATGTCGGGTTTCTACGCAATATAACTGGTACTGCGCATTAACGGCAATAACACACTTATTTACAGTCGCATCTTTTGCAGTTCAGGTCCATTTGCACATCTGTCATTAAACATTTGTCATTAGACATTAGTCATTACAAATTAGCTTTCTTTTCTGTTCCGTTCAAACGAAGGCCATGAGCGAGGATGTAACGCTCGAACGCTCCCACTATCTGGCCGGCACACTGGGTAATTTTTCTAAAAAGTCCTGCTCGATCACGGCCTCGAGATGAGCGACGTTAAGATGAGCTTGCGATTCCTCGGGTCGACGACTCAGCGCTGTGAAGAAGTGCTGCAGATCCTGCAGCGATCGTATGTTCGACGAGGTGAGGAGCAGCTCACCAGGCGCCAATTGCGAAGGCGATTCCGTCTCTTTGAACTAAAAATGAAAATACTTGCATGAGTTTACGTAAAATCATTCTTATTTTGACGTTCGTTCCTCAAGATTTTGTTTGCTTATATGCAGATATACATTCGAAAAATCAACCGCAGAGTAGTTTTCAGAGTAGGCGGGAGAAACGTAGTCGCGACTTGGCCAAACTCCAGTCAAAACGCACGCTCGCGCGCGAAACAGAGAGAGCGGACGAGATCTTTATTTATAACTTCAGGTGTGCGAGTAGTCAGTAGTTAACATCATTCCGAATTACAATGTACTGTAACGTTTAAAACGCTTTAAAAAATCAGCAAAGTCAAGGGGAAAAGAAGGAACGATGTTATCCAGCCAAAGTTGGACATAGGTACGCGAGCTTTTATGCTACGCGCAATAACGAGCGAACAAATCATTAAACCGTCTTTAATGAGCCCGAGAGGACAATTGAATCAACTTGGTGCACAGCAACTCCGAGTGTTTATTCTTACGTGTGTCTGTGTCTGTGTGCGCGCTTCCAAGCAAGTGTATAATACAACATTATATATTACGGCTGAAGCTTTCAAGTATCCATCAGTAAGCACAGAAGAGGCGCGAGAGAGTGAGTGCGACGCGCGATTAGTATTCCGCTGACCGGCATAATGGATGGCACGACGTTCAAGGTGGTGTGCTGCTGCTGTATTTTCTTGCTTCTACAATTGAGCTCCGTGTCGGCCGTGCGTAAGTATTCGCGACGAAAATTCTTGCTTGCGTCAAATCTAATGCGAAAGAAATAACTAATTCTGTTCGTGAATACTGCTTGCGACAGCTTGTTCTGGCGCGAAATTCGTTCGCAATTTTTCTTGCAAACTGCAGAAATAATAAAAAATGATTGCGAATCACTTTCGAGTTTGTTTTTCTTGTAAAATTTTTCATTGACACTAGAAGTATGCAAGCGTACGTAGATTATTAAATAATTGACGATTTCAAATCGATAAAAAATGACATTTGAAAGAAGTTCGAGTTTTCACGCGCTAAGCGGACTAACGGCGCAACAGGTGGTGCGTGATTCATTTGTTAAAATCGAAACAATTTATACACTAGCACGCGAGCTAACTGTAACTTGTTGCAACGATAAGTCTATAGGCATGAAGAGACCGAGCTAAATACACGACGAGTTGGATAAAATATATCCGACACGCTACACATACTCACACTTCTGACACTAATGCACGAGTTTAATTTGAACGCACGTGTTGACTTTTCATGGGCACGCGACGCAGGCTACATCGACGACACGGATTACAGCGATTTCGAGTTTTACAAGGATCTGCCGGAGCATCAGATGGCAGCCGATCAACCGCCTCGCGAGAGCGACTTTTACATCGAAAGCGAGGAGGTAGCTAAACACCAACATCAACGCAACAGGCATGACGTAGCGACTAACAATGATAGAGATAGAATTATTAATCCTGCCGATAGTAGAGTGCCTGTAATATTGCGCGACGGCCAGCCCTTGACGATCACTCTGAGCGAGTTCGTCGAAACAGTAAGCAAATTTAATGAATCTGCTGCAACGATTTTTCGCTTATCACCGAGTGAATAATATATGGAAGCGAATGAGAGATAGCGCCGTAAAAAAAGGTTTAATGACGATGAAACGTTTCAGGCTGAAAAACAACCGCCAGCGGATCGTATTTATCGATACACCAAGCACCGCATACCGGGCTACGATTATGAGGAACTCGCCGGTGAGTACAGCAATGGCGAGTACGCGCGCAAGTATCAGCGCCAGCGCTGCGACGATCGATCGGTCTGGACGCACTGTCTGTGCCAGTTCACGTGCAGCCAGCCGAGCGTCGTCGACTGCTACACGCCCTGCGCCCCGGGCTGCGAGTGCAAGGAGGACTACGTCTACGACGAGAAGGCAAGGAGATGCGTGACGCCCGAACAGTGCCAGCCCGACGACGATTACTTGATATACCGATGAGTGCCGATTTTGAAGACATCGTCTTCTGTTTTCAGATTTGCATGCGTTAAAGATCGATTGCGGCTACTTCATTCGCGTTTTGGAAATCTCATTATCGGCTTTAGTTTTTGATATGTTTTTTTATATAACACATTTTATAACATTGATTGATAGTAAAAAATGAATAATAAACTGATGCGCTTAAGTTAAAGTCAATCACTTCTTTATACTCACTTTATAATCCATGAGTCGAGCTATCCTGGTTATATGCGGCACGTAGTCCGTGCTTTCGTCATTATCGTCATTGTCTGATCCATTATCACCAACAAAAGCCCAGCGATACCTATTTGTTCAACGGAATATTCAATTTACGTTCAATTTTAATTTTTTTTTTTTAACATATATACATTTACAGATCAATAATTCGGAGAAAACTTACATTTGGAATTGGGGCAAACGATGCGCTGGCAGCAGCAACGCAAGATCGAGTAGTTTGGCAGCTGCGAGTTGAAGTTGCAACCAGTGCGGATGACCGGAAGCCTGCAACCCGTTGCTGGCGTTTACTGCCCACGACGAATCCAACGCCGATAGTAATTTTATGTGAGAACTGATGAATTTGATCGTAATGCAAGGAAAAGTGAAATTAGTATTTTCATCGAATGAAGTTTTACAGTTCTGCTAGCTAAGTAGCATCTAAACGAATAAGAAACTTATACAAGACGTATGAATTTTACAATATCAAAAGTATGAAAAAAAACCCCAAAGTAAAAAAAATATAAAGCAGTTGGATGAAGATGACGTTTACCTGCTTTGACGGCTGCCATGACCCAACACCAATCAAAACAAATCATGTCGGCGTGATGAATAATCGCCAGCGATAATTCGTAGCGGCCAAACAGGGAGCGAAAAAATAACATCACATAATTAAGGATTCAATGTTATGAAGAGTTTTGTTAGTTGAAATAAGATTTGGATATATATCTATATTCTAATGATATCGAATTTTTTTCAAATTAACAATGAAAAAGTGCCATTCAAGTAATTTAATTTAAAAAAAGCATGGCTGTTAGAGACGTTTCACCTTTTTCATACAAAAAAGCACATTTATTCTTGTGCACAATCAATAATTTAGTAGAAAATCGATAAAATGTATTATTAATAATTAGATATATTTAGTTTTTGTGAATAGCAAAGCTTTTAGTAAGCAAGAGTTACATATTATACAGCTATATATTTATAGTATGAAAGTAATCGTTGTCTTACCCAAATTCTTCAGTATCAGTACTCAATTCTTGCTCTATATGTAAAAACACTTGTACCAATTCACTAACGATCACGGGCCAAAGCGAAGTTGCATGCTGCGGTGAAACGCGCAGCAGTAGCACCCGGAAGCAGAGGAACACTTGAGCTTGTATCGAGGGGATGACTTGAGGTAATCGGAGGCTGTCCGCTAATCGTTCTGTTGATAAAAAAATGACATCATTCATACATTTCTACCTTTAACGCAGTCGTTAAATTATTAAAATTTTTAGGGTCCAATTAACTTTACGAGTCTGCCAGATGAATGAAAAACATTCATATGACTCATTCGTTTGGGTGGACGAGGTGCCTGTTTGTACCCTGATTAGCAATTATAATCATATACCACATCAAGCAGAACTTTAAATTGCACAAGGCATGTTTGAAAAGAGAATGTCAAAGAGACAGAGAAATTTATTACATCCCATTATCTAATAAAACCATTACCTTGAATCTCTGGCATATATTTATGGTATTGGTCCATATCACTGCAAAGAATAACAAAGGCCAATTTTTTCAATAGTTGAGCTCTCTGTTCGTACTCTTGCTCTTTGGACGAGAAAATGCTGATGGTGCTGCTTTGAGCCACCGATACTTTGGCTACAAAATAAACAATTTATTAGTTTACGCCTCTTATCTGAATTTTATAATTGAAATTTAATTTTATTTTTAACGTACTCAATAAATCTCGGAAGGTTGTAGTGTCATGTGTCATTAAATTATCGATAATAGTTCTCCAGTAAGGTAAACAAGCTGGCGTCATTTGGAAAAAGGCTGGATCAAGAAGTAAGTCAAGCACATCTTTGCGCCAGGCTTTTCGAGTATATGGATAACTAGAGAGCGAGCTTAGCAACTGAGAGCAGGCAGTGAACGAAGCGATATTTTTCGTTCTGTAAATAAAACATTTCATCAGATTTTATCATGATTTCATCTATCTATCACTGATCATCAAAATTGAACTTACGTATGATTTCTCAGGTACGGAGTGACATTCCCCATAAGATTAGTTAGTAAAGTAGCGACGCGTTCTTTTTCCTGAGAACCGTAGCTTACGTCGAGCAGTGGGGCAAGAATTTCGGCAAGAATACCTTGAGCCTGCACGCTGTAAGCTGAATTCGGTGGTGTTCCCGGCATCACTGGTTTACTTTCCCTTCCGTCGCTTGAACTTTCCGAAACATCAAGCACGTCCTCACGAACAGCCAAATTGCGACGTAGCCAGGTTGTCTGTTCCAAGCATGCTCCCGCAATTTGCGAGCACGACTCAACCAACTTGGCTGTGATATCTTGTAAATCTCTTATGTCTTTTTTCTCTTGCATTGGTGGACACTTTTGCACGTATTCATTGAGAATGGCGAGCAACAGGAACTGAGCAGGAGCCGTGACTGAGAGTCCATCCTTCAGCAGTCCAAGCAACGACGCCCACGACTCGACAAGAGTTTGAGCTGTGTTATTTTGCATATAAAAGTACAATAATTCTAGCACCGAAACTTCGAGGGAAAAATCTTGCTTTACTCCTGTCACTGGTGGGGGTTGCTTTATAACTTGATGCACCGTTTGAACTAATGTATCGATTGGCATTACCCTGATAGCACTGACTAATTGAACGAGCACCTGCTGATTTGGACAAGCTTCGGGCAGTACCTGCAAATTTTGATTCAACGTTATCAAATTATAAAATTAATTTTCGTCTTCAACTTCAAAGAGCGTTATATTTACCTTTTTGATGTTGTTGGAGGGTTGCCGCCTTTCGTGCCAAGCTACAGCGACTGCTGCTAGGAAATTCACGCCATGATGAAACGATATAGGCGACAAAAGTTCCAATAGTTGGTGCTTAACTACTCGAGGACTACCAATGACGCATGTCACTTGCTCACTAGGTAAATCAAAAACAAACAAAAATCAATCGTCATCTCAAATGCACATCATGATGAGAAAAGAGTTTCGTTAACTTACTTATCCTTAGTCACGGCGACTGCTTGCCAAAGAGCTGATAAGGAGGCAATAATTCTCGGCAAATGACTAAGAGCAGTTTTTCTCGCGTTAAGAAGTTGCTCATTCGACATATTTTTGTCCTTGAGACCCGTTATTTCCTATTTATCAAAAAAATGTTAATTTTGAATGAAATATCATGAAATATCATGAAATAGAAAAATAAACAATTTAAGATAGCAACATACAGCAGAGAAGGGCGTCGGCATGAAGGCATGTATGAGATTGTTGAATATCTGGCCTGGATTTGCAACAGGCAATCCCGTCTGCAACGCATTATTCGGCTGATTGTAGGACAGTACCACCTGCTGCGAGCTGTCAAGCAAGCAGTAGTGTAGCAGGAAAGTCAGCGCTTCGAGGTGGGTGACTGCGTAATCAGCGGATAGACAACACTCAACCGAGGCGATGTCCTCTTTCTTGCGACCGGTTGGTATGCTATCGGCATCGACGTAGTACGAGGCTAGCTGCTCAATGTTGCAGCATAGCTGGTGCATCGTCGAGGTGACAATGGTCGTAAGAGATGCGGCCATAAACGGTAAACTCGATGTGACTAGCGTCATCCAGTACTGATGTATGTGTCTCATGTGCTCCTGTGCGAGTGAGGCGTGAAACAAAAAAAGATTGGTTTGGTACTTTTTGTAACAATTTTCAAACTTTATTTGGAGATGTTACTCACGAGTTTCAAGGCACTAAGTATACTAGTGATGAACATGGGTTGCTGGGGTATCGGTGCACCAGGAACATATTTTAAATTCTGACCAGTCAAACTAGGCATCGAAGCCGACGTGACAGAAGGACTGACAGGTTGCTGACCAGTACTGGCCATCGGCGCGGGCTCTTCGCCTTTCTGAAGACTGCATTGATGTTCCAGCATTATTAGTGCCAAAAGCAATCTACAAAATAAGAACAGTACAACGTTTAAAAAAACGAAATTTTTTTATGCTACATAATAATTCTTATATTTTTCATTAGTAAAAATTCAACCATCTCGTTAGTAATTTCAATAGCTAAAAAGTATTTATCCAAGAAAAAAAATTATTAATCAAACAGCTATGTCTTCTGAAGTCGAAAGTGACTGGGATGTTTTTTCATGAATATAAATAAATGTTTTGCCCAATTAGCCTGACTTATTTATTTACCAAAATCAAATTGAACTTACCTTAACAATTGTATTTGGAAGGCTTCAGTGTGGTCACTAGCTCGATATCGACACTTGGCCGTATCGTTTTCAACCACGGGATCGTTGAACTGGACGATTTCTTCAGTAAACGTGAAAACTTCGTCGCTATCTTTTTGGGCATTTTTCATGGCTAAAACACTCGATACGAGGCAGTGAAGAGCGACTTTTTGCACCTTGCATTTAGTCAGTAAATCAACAATGTAACAGCTAAAGCTCTTGCCGGAGTCACGGACTATTGGTATAAGTTCGGTAATTATGAGTGTCAATAATTCTGTACTTGCTAATTGAGCCTAAAATAGCAAGATACCAATGTCGATTAAAATAAATATTATAAAGTTTACTTTTGCAGGACAAAATTTAGAAATGTACCTGTCTGTTGCCAGATATTTCCTCTTGGGTAAGTTTAATTTGACCTAAATTCGGATAATAACTACGAGCATAATATAGACACACGCTTATGAGCACTTCGAGATACATGCTGCTGCGGTAGGAATTCATAAATTCGCAATTGGCCATATTTCCATGAAAGTTTCTGCCAAAAACGCTCTTTCGGTGCCTGGCAAGAAGCGTAATCAGGTCGGAGCTGCGAGGATTGCTGGAGATACCAGTGGTCGCAGCGGCGCATAGAAAAATTCTGGAATTAGTTACCAGTTGGTTACGAAGTACTCGCAGAGCATAAAGTGTGCGCTTGGAATCGTAGACCCCGCAATAAAGAAGCATGTGCGAGTGAAGATTGTGAACGCCCACGCCGCTGACGTTGCTGCTACTATTAATGTTATTGTTGAGTTTCGAGCTGTTGCTGGAGTCCACGGCATCGTTACTCTGAAAGAATAGAGAAAAAACAGTTTTGATTATCGCAATCGGATGTGAATTCGGAGCATTTAACCTTCTCACGGAATATAATTATGCTGCACGCAAGGATTACGTAAACAAGGCACGCCTGCTGCGCGACCGTGCTCGCTTGCCGTCTAATTTAACTAATGAGCGGCTAATTAACGACGCGCCGATATAGATATAAAAATATGTTCGCTCGTCAATTTAGTGCACATCCAGCGAGAAAAACACGCAAAAATTTACCTGTTTTTGATCGTCGCTCGGCTCGCACATCTCGACGACCTTGTCGACTACGTCGTTGAGTACTTCCTCGACAATGCTGACACTGCCCGCGTTGCTGAAAAAGTCCTCGGCGGCGGTGCTCGTTTCAAGGTCGATCTCTTCGTCGCCCATGGTCCAGCTAGGTATTTCATTGACCGTCTCGAAACTGTTGACTGAATCGTTCGGGTCATAGCTTCCTTGGGCGAATTCGTTGTTCATCACTTGGTATTTTCCTTTAATCAGCGTACCAGCTATTTCTCGCGAACTATTGCCCATCGTGAGTTGTTGCTCTTTTTTCCCTCTGGACTGCTGCTGATTCGTTTTGTTATTCGCAAGAATTTCTGGACTGTTTGAGGCCAAACTGTTCGTAAGGGAATCCAGAGACGCCGAGCTAACGTCACCATTGACTTTTTTCTCGATCATGCTCGTCGTGTTCGCCTTAACAGTACTGCTATTTGCCGAAGTGGATTCAGATGGCTCGAACAAACTTTCATCCAAACTACCCGTCGAGCCTTTGTTGAACTGAGGTTTTTTGAACCTTTTGGCACTACGCAGCACTTCCGCAGCTGCGGCGTTCATGCTCTGAAAGGCTTTTTTCACCGGTGTCATTTCTTCCTCGGCCGATTCGCCCGAATGATCATTTCCACCGTTGAACGAGAGTGGGTTGACGAAAACAGACATTTGTCGATTTCCCGAAATCACTGGAGGTACTTCTAATTCTCTCATCATTTGATTACGTTCGGTCACGTACTGATTTCCCTTGTTATCACTCATTAAAGTCGTAACGGCGAAAATACGCTTCACCCTCACGGGATTTATGATTGGTTTCTTCTTTCGACCCCCTCTTCGCCATCTCTTTTCTTCCGGCCTGTCCTGCTGACTATTACTTACATGATAAATCACGTTACCGTCCTCTGAACTTATCGCGTAGATATTGGCGGCACCATCGGTATCCTCCTGAACCTGTTCTGTACGATCCAGCGAGACATTGGGATCACTTCGGCTCAGCACAATATTGCTATGTTGAATGCTGACATGGAGCACGCTCAAACGACCGGTTGATGGATCGAGAAGCATCGTTAGCACTGGATTTAGAACTCGCGATATGTCGTTACGCACAAGGCAGTGTAGCAGCCACGATTGCGACTGTAACTTTAACGGTGGGTTGTCTGGGAGTTGCAGATTATCCAAAAGCTTCAACAGAGATCTGAAAAGTAATCGAGTGGCAAATGAAAATTACAGCCAGTACAACAATTTTCAAGAGATATTTCAGTACTTACTTATCGAAACCTCGTAAGTTTCCCCTTAATCTAGGATTCGCTTCTATTTCTCGTCCTAAATGCCAGAGAGTAGCAAAACGATTCAGAGCTTCAAGTCTTTTCTCCAAATTTTCTGTCATGAAGGCCGAACCGATGACATCCTCAACGGCGTCGCAGGAATCTTGCAACGTATGATGCAGTTCGTGCAGTAACTCGACACAACGAATTCGATATTTGTGAGCGGGCAATTCGCCCAAATGATGCCAGAGCGAGTGTGCCAATATTTGAAAAACGTTCGTGTAATCCTTCAGGTACGAGAAATGCCATTTTTTCACAAGAGGCACAATGACGACGGTAGTTACGCCTTCCCCGTGTGCTTGACTTGCCGAATCGCTGTGAGCCTTCGACAGAGCGACGAGATCGAGCAGAGTAGCGATGCTCGTGAGTTGAAGGGAAGGCTGTCTGCCAAGCCAACAGCTACAGACCACTAGCACCTTCAGCCATTGCGGTAGAGAAGTTTTGCCTCCACGAGGCTGCTCGTCGTAAGGATCTTCGACCGGTAAACCATTGCCAGGTAAAAAATACGTGGGAAACGTCGAGAGTTCGACGAAGAGAGCTGATGCGACTTTCAAGACTTCTTCCCAATCAGATTGATCCACAGATTCAATGTACAAATGCAAGATATCTGTTGAGACGTAAAAAACGCAGTGGTAAGAACTTTGTAACTTATAGATATATCATATAGGCATACTAACCGAGTTGTCTTTCTTCGGGCGACTGCGATTCTTGACTTATGAAACCTGAATCACCCAAATCTAACTTGGACCTCAACAATCTTTCCAAGTACCTGGTCCTTTCCTCGAAGCTTTCTCTGTTCGAAGTCACACGCAGACTCTCGAACAGATCCGACATGGATCTTTCCTTATCGAGTATTCTCTTTTCGACTAGTTTCACGTAGAACAGCTCGTAGAGTCGCAAGCACTTTTCCAGTATCGAGTGTTGCGCGTTGGCCGGCGGCGGTGCTCGAGACAGTAGAGAGTTAGCCGAGCCAAGGCTCTCGATGGTTTTCAAATCGTCCATGCTCTTGTTACGACTGAGGGTCGATCTTGCCTCGTCGCTGACAACGACGCTGATGCGGCTGCCATCGGACGAGATCGTGAAAGATTCGTTCAATTTTGACGCGCTTCTGCTCGACTTCCTCTTGTTTCTCTTTTCCATTTTCTTGCCAGCGCCGCTCGAATTCGCTCGACGACGAGGGCTGCAAAATCGAAAACATTGTTTGATAAAATAAAAAGAGTAAATTGATCTCATGGCGAACTCGCTTTTGTAATTCAATTTACGGCGCGGCAAGTTATCGATCGTCGCGTCAATAAATATTTGATTTATGATGAGTTACGAGCTGTACATCACATTTATGTTTTATTCGCACAGAAAAAAAACGAGGATGAAACGTGTATCAAAGTCGGCAAGTCATTTGATTTTTTCAGCCCCAAGGTAGGTACGCGAGCTTTAATTTCACGTTCAAGGCTCATCATCTCGCGTGCGCAGAAAATCAATGTCATATTGTATTATACCCCGCTGCAGTGGGCTACGCTTCTCTTCCTCGATGAATCATCATTTGTTTGTCATATAGCACCTCGTGTATATACCTACACACGAACGCAAACATGTGGAAGGAAAATGTGTCAAGTTCAATAGCTCACCTGGGACTACGATCCAAGAAGGAGCTGTTTAACGACTCGTTGGCAACTTGCTTATCAAGCCTGCTGTCCGATTGGCTCTTTTCCAATGGCACGGCGGCCAGGGCATTATCGATCGACGAGGACTCGCGCTCGCTAGCGTGGCCGTTGATCGACGCATCAATTCTGTTGTTGTTGCTGTAGCTGCTGTTGTTGACGCTCTCGAGCTCGGCGACGTCGGCGTTCGAGCTTTTTTCGTTGTTGCTATGGCCCGTCCCGGCCGCCGGTTGGACCCTCGAGAGGATTTTGCCGCACAACTTGAGACTGCTCGTTATCTCCGTCGGGCTAAGCTGCTCAATGCGGTCTGATAATTTATCGATTATGCCGTGAAAAAGGCTGCAAAAGTTTAGATGACACAATCGTAAATATTGCGCAAAGTTGATCAAAAAAAGTTTTTAAAAGCTAGTGCAATTTTCTCGATGGATTTCAGATGATAAGGTTTTGTTTTAAAAATAAAACCTTTGTTACAATTGATAATATTAATCTATGCTAGAAATCAACGAAACGAAGTTTTTATTTAGACCTTTCAAAATTTCAAGAATTTACCTCAATTTATCATTGATTTGCGATATACATAGCTTAATAATAATTGAGCTTCGATTAATTTTTATTGTCGCATCGAATCGAGTTTATCTTGCTCGATACGAGAGTGAGAGACTCACTTGCCGCTTAAAATACGTAGATCGTAAAGTCGATCGAGAAGACTCACCTCGGTAGATGATGGGATGACGTGTGTACGGAAGAGTCGAGCGATACGTTCTCGAGCAAGAATTCCGTCAGAGCGCAAACCTCGGAAAGTTCAGGGAAGCCGCTGCCAACGGCTTTGACGAGCGAATTGCTCGAGCTGCCGACGCTTCCATGTTTGCCTTTCTTGTTATGGTGGCTCACGTTGCTGAGTCTGTAGCGACGTCCTGGCTCCCGATCGCACGCCTTCTCGAACAAATAATCGCAATGGACCCATACGTATTGCGGCTCCAGGGTGGAGAACAGCAAATTGACCGACTTGACGACGTCGGGCGTTTGCTTCGTCGGCGTCGTGCAGGCGTTGTAAAACGTTCTGTGAAAAGACATGGAAAAATATTTTTTTGATTTGTGTAGGTGCGTGGGCGTGTTTTCTATTGCGGTAAAAAACGATTTGCGTGACGGAACTTCAAAGGCTGCCGGACACGCCTCTGTGTGCAGCGATTGATATGTACATCGCTCGAGCAAAGCAGACTGACGTCATTCAGGTGATTCTCGGCGATCGCTTCTTCTTCTCCTTGCATTATTTACTTCTTACCTCATCGTCTTCGAGTTTTTCGCGCGCGCCCGATACCAGATAAAGACGAATCCCATCGAGGCAGGAACGAACACGTTGGAACGCGAGTCGATTAGCGTTTACGAAACTCGTGAATGCAATTACAACCGAAGCGACGCGTTTTTTTTACGAGTGCGTACGTACCTGTAAACTTCGTAAAGTATGTCATCGAGAATTACAGGGCCAATGTCGGGCTTATCCAACAGCGACATCAATATCCTGTAGGGCTTGAGATCTTGTGGATTATCTAGGCAAACGTTTCTCAGCGTCGACTTGATGGCCTCGATCAGCATATCCTTGGAGTACACCTCGAAGTAATCCGCGGCCGTCTCGGTCGCCACGAGGTCCGCCTTATTCTTCAATATCGACGTGCTGACTTCTGTTCCCAATAACCATGCAAACAGTCGCCTAAATGATAAAAATAAAAAAAATTACACGAACACGATCGTACCTTGGCTCGCGTCAAAGCAAACAACTATGAATTTGAGAGAATGACTTCTTTTTTTTTCCTCCTCTCCTTACCTGTTCAAACTCATGTCGCGACGCAATATCGTAGCGAGCGCGGCCGTGAGCAGGACGACCATCTCGTTGCGCGACAATTGACTGTTGTGCATGGGAAAGCCAACGAGCATGAGGTCCAGTGCGCTACGCTGCACCAGCACCGTTGAATCTCGCACTCCGGCGCATAGGGCCGCGACCTTCGCAAAAAAAAAAAAATTTATCGATTTTTAGTCAGCTGATACGAGGTTGGCCGCTTGTACATCGGCACACAATGACTTATCGCGCGTGTAAACAGAAAATGTTATGGGCACTTTAAAAATAACAGGGATGAGATCACGAGTAAAAAAAACCTAGAGTTTTTTTTACTATAAACTTTCAAATCTGTAACTTGAGAATCTTATTATCTCACTTGCCTCCAGAAACGAAATCATCGATTTGGCGCGTGCATAAATACAGCGACACTAGGCATTACGTCACGCTTAAAATGTAATAATACAAGCGAAACAGAATCGCAAATTTATTTCCTGCGCTTTCATGCAGATACAGACGTGAATCAGCTTTAGGTGAAGTCTTATCTAGGCGACGAACGCGTGCGCGCGCGAGCTTATTCAATTTTTTTTGCTCTCGGACATCGACATACATAAGGTGTATCGCGCGCAGCTTTATCGCACTGCGTGCGTACTATATATCCTGCTACGTACAAACTTCGAAAGCATTGCAAAAATTTAAGTATATCAGCTGCTTAAAATTAGCCGTTGAATAGTCGTTAACGAACAGGCTTTTACGATTCGAACGTGATGAAAATGGGCGAGCGTTTATTAGTATATGCATTATTTTACGATCGAAATCTATGATACAAAAGGACGGCTCAAGTGCACCGTTTGTCGTTGCTATTATATTAATTAATATTCGAGCGAGAGCCGTACCATAGTGTTGACATTGGTGCCCATGATGTAGAGCTGATCCTCCATCGAGAGCTTCTTGTTGAAGTGCGACAGCGCGAAGGATATGGCGGGCAACCGGATGCCCGCGTTCGACGACAGACAGTCCCAGAGGCAGGCGTAAAAGTGCTCGGGACCGACGCCCTCGCACACCTTCTCCAGCAGCAGATTCGTCCGGTCGAAGAAGTCGGAGCCCTCCTCGAGGCCGGGCAGGACACCGCTCAAAAATCCGCTCAAGGCCGGCCTCAGTCGCTCGCCCAGCGGCACGAAGTGCGTCTCGTACACGGTGAGCAGCAGCGGCCGCACGTTCATCGCCGCATTGCCCAGTAGCGGAAATAGACCTTTGGTTTTTTTTTGTTCGAATAACATATATATGATTAATAAGTCTTGATTATAGTGTGCGCGTGGCGAGGCGTGCTTTGTTCATTATGTAGGTGTGCTTTTCATCGATTGACGATCGAGCGCGCGCGCGCCTACAAGTATATAAGTCGTCGGAAGTCGTTGTCGTCGACGTCGTCTTGTGTGCTTGCATAGCGGAAAAAAAAGAAATAAAAGACTACTGCCTTTTCACTTTTGTTCGTCGCGTTGAGTTTTAGCACGCGCGCGACATTGTGACGTAAATATTATAAGGCTGAAATCGTTCGAAATATTATATACGCTCGGGCGGTCAAACACGCGTCTTCTTTGTTTTAAATCGTCGACTATACACAAGTCTCGTGTTTGCGCAAGGTTCAGAAGCTATCACGTTATATTTGGTTTGCGCGATTAAAAACGCGAAAGTTGGAAAAGGAAAAATTTATCGTTACTTTACGAAATTGTAAGTCAAAAATAAAATTAATCAAAAGAGCCAGTGTAATTCCGAAGGCAATAATTGCGTCAATCGGGTTCTCATGCGTTAGTTCTCATATCTATTGAGATTATCTATTTACCTGCACTGTAAATGAATAGCTCATGACTCAATCTATTGGTTCCCATGCATTTGAATATAATATCGTAGGTTTCAAGGGCTTTCAGATGTACTCCAGGTGGTAATGCGGGATGCATGCATTGTGCTAGACGTTTTGATATCTTGATCCTTCTTGGAATAACTGGAAATTTCATATTACTATTGAGCACTTTATTGAGCTTCCCAAGAGCAGATATCAAATCAGCCCACTCGCTAGTATATTCAAAACTCTTGAGAGCCTTGTCCACTGCAGAGACATAGCTGTAAAGGAAAATATAGTTGTGATATAATATCTTACAACAATTACTAGTGACATAATTAAATTTGCAAGGAATTTTTTACAAGACTATTGCTTTATGTTTTCCATATATGTATTGATCTTTTTTTTCTCATAAATAGCTCCTATTGTTCTTAGTTCACAGAAGACACTTTAATTGAATTTAATGCAACCATTACATTGTAATTAAGAGAACAAAAAAAGATTTTATTTGTCTTAAAATTGTTAATATTCCATAGAAACCAACTTTTTCATTCTGAAGGCAGAAAATATCAAAGATAATTTTTTTTAAACTTATTTAATTTCTTACCCAAATTTACTGGTATACTATTTTTTAAAGCAAAATGATTACGGTACACTTATTTTGTAATCGTATTTGCTAAATATAGATCACTATTATGATAAAAAAAAATTGTGTACTTAGTTTTAATTATACATATGAATCAAAATTTCAACATTCATAAAAACCTTGTAAAGAAATTGCTGTATCATCAAAATAATCAAATTAATTAGATATTTTATCAAGCCATACTTTGATATGTCATTGTGACCTAACATCAAGTGATGAAAATTATATATATCCAACTTACACTCTGTATTTGGAGTCCTTCATCAACTCGTACTCTTCCAGCGCAATGGAACCCATATTGCTAGGTTTTCTTTCTAGACTCATGGCAAAGTGTTTATCCAATGATGTTGCAATCGAAGACAACACTCACTCACGCGAGCCTAGATCTTGGAGCACTAACATCTTTTCCAGCAGTGCATCATCTAAGCATCCATGTAAAACGAATTCATTGATCTGCAACAACGCATGCACAAGTCACATTGAGAAATAAATAATCAGCTTCATAGATTGTTTACACATGTTTATAATCATGGGTAGCAGAAGTCAAGAGAAAAGAATTGACAGATGCACAAATCAAAAATAATGAGTATCTCGCAAGAATGTAAAAGAGAATGCGCGACAGACGACAGAACGTGTTTTATATACTGCGAGATAGTATCAAGTATGTGCAACGTAAAAAGGTACAAAAACTCGCGATCGCCAACAGACTGTACTTTTGTAAACTTTGCGCTGCTGCTGACTGCGGGCGATCGCAGCTTGGGAAGCACAGCACAATAACACAACACTTGCTAAATTGCCTATAGCGCTCTAAGCCTCTGACCAGTCAATGTCAAAGTCGCACACGTTAACGTAATATACGTTATAATAATAGGCGTGCAGCCATCGACTCGACGTTGACGTAGTCGTCGTCGCACCAGGGGCTATATTTCAATGTAGTGTAACGTCGTCGATACAATACGAAGCATCATAGAGCTATAAGCTTCAACTCGACATCTTCATCGTGACAGTCAATGTGTGCATATCGAGCACGCGTGTGTGTAACGAGGTATACGTAGCGAGATTCGTGTCATCGTACCTGGTCGCGAACTATCCTCGTGTCCCACACGCGTTCACTTTACGCACAACACAACGCATGCAAATGCAACAGAAACAACAACAATAACAAAAAAACAGAACAACCGACCATACGAGGCTTATTATTTCTGCTCTAGTCTCTGCGCCTCGCGTCGAATGGCAGAGCTTCGACTATTTTTCACGCGCAACGAACTGCAGAGCTTGTCACGATATATAAACACACAAGTGCTCTGCCACTGCTTCATACTTTTATATTGTGGCACACACACACGTACACACAGATGTAGAAGTACATACGCTATGACAGGTACCTGTATTATGTATAAGTGCAACAATAAAAACCACGACGGGCTATATATTCGCTGCTGACACTATCCGGAGTGCGGTTATAAGTGCAAATGCACGTACGTTTTGTGTGCTAGTATTTGTTTTGCTGTATTAAAAAATAACTGCGGCTGCGGCTGGCTGATATATAGTTCGGCTTTCGCATCCAGCGCACGACTAAAACTGGAATACGAGAGCTGTGCGACTCGTGCCTCCTGCTTACAGACAAAGTGTGTTATATATATACAAAGCCTTATGCTATATAGTCGCGCACACACACGCGCGACTCGCGATTGTAACAGTCTGCTGCTGTTGAGCTCTGCTCCGATCTTTGCGTGTGTATACGTATCGTGCGCGCGCGCGCGCGAGCGTAAGCGGGTTTGGGTGAATAAAACATGCTATATAACAGCAGTAGCAGCAGCAGCAGCAGTCATACGGAGCATAGACGGCGCGTACTACACCTACGCAGTCCGCGAATGCATATTGCATATATATGTGCTGCATCAGACAGCAGCAGCATACCGTATGCTGCTGCTGGGATTTAGATCGGACAGCAGATGCTCGAAAGAAGAGAGTCGGAGCTATTTTTCCACGCGCACGTACACCTCGCAATATGTTAAATGGGTGTCTTTTAATAAGAGTATTGTTGAGCATTGACGCGCGCGATTATTTATACGCACACTTAAGGTGCGCGCGATTGTGAACCAGATATCAGCTGTTCACACGGACATCAGCTGTATACTTAATGTCATTGACGCGTACAGTACATTTACTACCTTCAGAGCGCGAATAAACCACCGCACGGTGAGAAAGAGTTGAATCGATGCCAATTATTATATTAATCCACGTGCATAAAAAAAATATAAGTCATCTCGAGTAGTTTTAACTTTTTTCTTTGTATCGCACGAGTGTGACTCGGCTCTTCTATTATGTTGGCTCGCCTTAAGACGCTCGGGACAGACTCAATATCTTATCACGCGAAAGGAAGATAAGTATACTAATAAGTAATATGCGTGCTTAGCGTGCGTATACGAGAGCTGCGAGAGATCTACGATGCCCCAAAGAGAGCCGCACGCCGTGTCTGGCTCGACGAATTCTTATAGTTGAGAGAGAACACAAAAATTTTATTAGCACGTGCATTATCACGTGTGTTATCACAACCGATGTTTTTTTTTCTTTCGTTTTTTTATTGATGATAAATAATGGTACGTTAGGAACGGTTTTTTTATTCACGTACGCTCGCGGACCGAAACGCAGCCACCGAGAGGAAAAATCATTCGCTTTGTAATTAAACATCGAACGATTTGAATTAATAACGTTTCTCTGAATTAAATCGGAGCTCTCGAGACATGCGAATTTTAATGGCTCTTAATGTAAAAGATTAACCAGAAAGACGCATCGAATTGCGGTTAATGCGATGCTCGTTACAACAGCGCGCGCTTTGGTTTAACATTTTTTCCCTCTTATTATTTTTTTTATTTTTATGCATGCGATATGTCACAATTGCGCGCGAGTATTTACATACTCATACTGTTTGGTAAATTGATAAGCGCGCGCCGCGAGCTCGCGCAGATTAAATAAACGAAAATAAAAAAATACGACTTTTTTGCACTTTCTTCGCAAATCAACACACGCACTGTTCGCACAAGCAGCTTATCATCGAGTCGATACGAGCGAGTATAACGTACCTATAAAAAGCACAGAGCTCGTTGTGTGCCACTGGTTTCTTTTTCATTTCGAATAAGGCGAGTTTTTTTTTCGTTCCTCGTTGCACCCCTTTTCCGATGCAACACAATTGCACACGCGTGTATGAACTTTTGCGTAATACACCCACTGGCACCGATGTTTTCAATCGCAGTTACCTGATTGCGTCTAATCGAACGTAAATTACTCGTTTAAATCGCAGGCACGAATATAAAGTGATGATTCATACGAACGAAACTTATAATGTAGGCCGTGAATTTCCAATACACCGTGAAGATTTTTTAGGGTTTCTCCCATCTCGCTTCACTTGTTTGACGGTTATTTATAGCCATTGTCAAGATTCGGAGTTTCCCGCGCTTTTCGAATCGCCGCTATTGCAAAAATTCTCGAAACGAAACAAGTGATTTTCGCTCATCAGTCCAAACTGCACTGCCACCTGCCGCAGTATAAATACATTCAGCTTATGTTAAAGGGTACCGTGACTGTCACTTACAATCTCATGGTTTATCCTTATTTACACAACTCTGTCTGCGGTTCTCGTTCGCGCGAATCGCGACTCACGAATCTTCGTTAATGCTCCGACATTTGCCATTGTAAAGCGAGCCTGATCTGCAATGTACAGCTTGATCTGTGCTCCAAATATGCGCGCGCAGATGCGAATTTCATCGAAGCTCGCGAACCCAACAAGCCAAAACGAGACAGAAGATGATCGTTGTGCGCCGAGCCGCCGAGCGCAAAAGCGAATCTCTTTGTAGATCGTAGACTGTTCGCCTCTGTCTCTTTGTGTACGCTTGAGAGCTGTTTTGTCAGTTGTGTGCGTGTGATATATACATTCATATACGTTGCTGGTGTAATGGCGATCGTCGTCGCAGCCTCGCGAAAAGTAACAGCAGCTGCAACAGAAGCGTAACATACAAAAGTCGCCCTCGTAAGTATCGTATGCGCGAGAAATACATCGAGAGGACCGAGTTAAATATTCGACGCTGCAGTTCTCGCACACACAAGTGGTAGAGAGTGTTTGTTGCGGTGGTGCGTCTGTGGGTCTCGAGTGCGCAACGGCGGAAAAGATTGCCTATTACGATTCGTACAGCGCATCTATTTAGCGCGTCTGCAGCCTCTGTTAATGTTGGCCAAGCCAATATTATAAGCTTATACATAATAAGTCTGTGTGTGTGTTCGCGCTGTGCCTCGTGTGCCACTATAATACAGCACACTGAGGCAAACAAAGCCCGAAGCTACGCAGCAACAGCAGCAGCAGCAGCATCGCGTTGAATTATCGCCGTTCTGTAAAGTCGAGAGACTGAAACGGTTTAACTATATAAGTGTAAGCGATACCAAGATCCGATTAATTTCGAGACCTTGTCGTCGCGCTTCATAAATTGATAAGCTGGCTAACAAAAACAACAACACGTCGTCCCGAGTGGCATCGGGCCTGTCGCGGACGTCCAATCAACGGACCCCATCCGCTTCGGCTGCTAACTTGAACAATCTGACGAATAGAAACAAAAACAACAACAGCAACAGTAATAGTAACAGTAACAACAACAACAGCAACATCAACAATTCCTCGTCGGGACAAGCCTACGCTACCCCGGTTTTTTTTAAAAACAACATGACTTCTGTCAACAGCTCGGCCTGTGCGCCAGCCAGCGCGGGCTCCTCTGAGTCGGATTTCCGCATGAACATTGCTGCCCTTAAACGCGTTGATCCCTATGTCAAGACCATCATCGAGACGGCCACACACGTCGCCCTCTACACGTTTAACGGCGAGAGCAATGAGTGGGAGAAAACCGAAATTGAGGGAGCTATGTTTGTGTACTCGCGTATAGGAGAACCCTACAATAGCATAATCATCATGAATAGGTGAGTTTCCTTTATTTCTTTAAAAAATTATACTTTATACCTTTATGATTTTCTTATTTAAAACAAATAGTTTTGTGCTGTTTGAACATGGTTTTAATAATTTATTTTTTTTTACAGACTAAACACTCAAAATCAAGTGGAACCAGTTACTCCAGGCTTAGATCTACAACTTCAAGAGCCATTTTTATTATACAAGAACTCCAAAGGACATATATATGGTATTTGGTTTTATGACAGAAATGAGTGCGTAAAAATATCGTCTGTGTTGAACAAACTTGCAAAAGAATCAGACTCTTCTAACAAAGTTATACCAAAAAATAAAAAACCAGTTCAAAAGAAAACAAATAACGTTGACATATTTAGCATGTTGAGCAAAGCTCAAGAAGATTATAATTCTAACAAATCTGGCTCATCAGATAAAGTTAGCAGAAAAGCAGATCCTAAATCACCAATGAGTAATGCAATTGGAGAATTGTCTGGGGCATTGAATGCCATGGCTATGGCATCCAATGTGGCTCCAGATGTGACATCAAAAAGTGTAATGGACTTCTTTGCTAAAGCTAAAGTAAACCCTCCAGTGGCCCAATTAATGTCTCATCCTGCAGCTCATACTGTAGAAAATATAGAAAAACAGCATAGATCTAATACGCCTCAACCGGCAGCAGGCGCGTCTTCAATGTCATTAAACAGTACAAGGTAAATATTTAATTGAGTTAATCAAGGTTACTAATTTATTAGCCATGAACTAATTATATCTTTTATATTCACAGTTGTGAAGAATCAATTATAGCCAAGCTTCAAAAAAAAGCAAATATTGCTGCATCAAATAAACCAACTCAACCATTAACATTAACAGAGTACGCTGCAGCTAAAACACCTAATGTTGCCGATAAATCAGGACGAACTGATGACAATCATACCTCAAGTTTTCTCAGGATACAGTCTCCAAATGCTATAAATTCAAACGCTATGCAAAATAGAAATAATGTTAGTCTTAATAATTATGGCGAAGGATATGACTCTGTATATCTAAAACAAAATACTTCATTGCCGAGCCAACTCTATGATCCAGCTTATCATCACAATTCTACGGTAACTTTTAACTGAATTTAGAACCTTAGCATTCAGGGATTATATTAAATTCAATTATTACTTTTGTCATTACAGTATCCTCATGATGATTTGGTGAATGCCCCACTTACACCTAAATCCTCAACCTTGACTTCAGGTGGCACAGCTCCAGCACTCATACCTCCGGGTATGTTTGCTGCATCTTCAAGTCCAGCAACAACAGAGTCTTTCCTGCGACCAGTTGAACCACTGACAAGAAATCAATTACTCCAAGGGTTTAATTACTTGTTACGTAATGATCCGGAGTTTGTTAACAAATTACATGAAGCATATGTGAAGTCTTTCAGCGAAATACTTTCATAGATTTGAAAGTATTCAGACGAATCTTAAAAACTCACCCACACCTGTATAAAGTAAATCGCGCGTAAAATTTGCATGTACAGCATTCCTGTTAGAACGCGGATGATCTATTGAATAGGAAAAGTGTGGCTAGAAAATGTGAAAGGTGAAGTGCGCTTTAAAAACAATAACGAACAGCGAGAAAGGTATTCATCACTGTCAAATGTGTTTTTATTTTATTTTTATTAGTGTTGCCCTTTGAAGAATTTTAATATTTGTGAATGGCAGACTTTTGGCACTTGAACTTTTGCACGTTCTTGCAACATTATTTTAGATTTTAAAAACAAATCGAGTACTTTAAGCAGTATTTTTATATTCTGGTGTGATCTAAAGCAGCTTTGATAATAAATCGACATTTAAGACTCGAGTGTCAATGATATACACTTAAATCGTCAATGATATAAACTTGCAACACTAAGTTAGTGCGCAAGTCCGAAAGAATATGATTAAATTTAGCAGAAGCAGTGCAAACGTCAGATCATCGAAGGGTTTGCAAAAATATATAGTTACGCGATTTAAATCTAAAAACAATCATTGTAATCTCGCGAATCTTTATGAATGAGCGAAAATGACTTTGTTTTTTTCAAACTGGTGCTTTAAAAAGTGATTGACGCAATGTACTTACAGAAAATCAAGTACTGAACAACAGAAATTGTAATTTTTTTTAACGATGTAACGACCTACATGGTAGAACTACCCTTCGTATCCTTATATTGTTATTAGTGTGATCGTTATGACGTGCGTTGTGCTGCTGCTCTTTGTGCATGTCCAAGAGTTATTAATATTAAAAATTTAATGAATTGTATAAAAATAATCCATGTTAAAATGGAAACATACAGCAAGTAGATTATTATTATTATACTGATTAAAGAATACGAGCGATTAAGATCCTACAAACGCTTGAGTTGTGAGAAAGAATAACAAATAAAAGAACACAAGATTTCGTCAAGAATAAAACTTGTATATATTGTTTGACATTTTTATCTTGTTTTTTCATCTCTTTTAATTAGCCGAACTACTCGACATTTTACGTAAAGTAGGACATTTTTTTACATTATTCGCGTTATACAATCTATGTAGAATAGCGATACTCAGTTAATACGTAAATTAATTTTATTTTATAGTAAATTATTATCGTATTATCACAATATTACATAATTTTTTAAATGGAATACGATTAAAAAATGGTACATGCTCGACAATCGTAACATACATCATGCGATGATCTCAACTCTTCACTAGACTCTCGTGTGATATTTATCGATGTTTAAGTGATTCAATTGACAAGTTGTCATTATTTCAAAAAATATAGAGTTACATTTGTTTCTCAATGGTTCAATTTGAGAGAGATAACAAAATCGTATAAGTTTTTCCTCGAGCCTGTAAGGCAAAAAAAAAGACAATTCGATGAGCGTCGATCAAAAACTATGCAGTCAACATCGAAGCAAAAATCATTTTTTCATTCACTCGACTCATATAGTGCTCTTGGACTCTTTCTCAATAGCTTGTAATATTTGTAATGTTGGAAGTACAAAATTCATTTGATCAAATAGATTTTATAAGAAAAAGACCAAAACAAGTTGTTTAGTTATTTCATTTTCATATATAAGAATAAAAATATAGTATTAGTTAAAAATAATACAAGCATAATTAATTCAAACGATTTCATCATCATCGATTGAAAATCAAAATCTTTACTAAAATTGCATCTTTATTCACAAGTTTAACGAGTAAAGTAGTGGATAACATTTGTTTACAGTTAAAAAAAACCTTAAGCTAATTAATAATTTTTCCTCCAAATTATTATAATCCATACTATTAATATTTTATAATGTAAGCAGTGATACAAACAACTTTCATTTACACTCATTTATTCTCATTTACTTTCACTCATACTGATGTAAAAAATGATTACAGAAAAAATTACACGTATTTTACAATTGATAAACCGAAGCAAATATTAAAAATTTGAATTGAAGTATCATTATTACAGTCATCATTTTTTACAGGAAAAAAAGAAAATTCACAGCCGTATGGAAAACTTGAGGTTCGTTACATCTTCATTTACGTCGTTCTTGTTATCAATAAAACGGTAAAAAATACAAGAGAAATTATCGGACGGAAAAACCTTTGCCATGGATTCGATTGATGCGTAAACCACAAGAAATAGAAAGATCAACAATTGCTTTTTTTTTTAACGAACCTCAGTTTAATTTCCATAAATGCCATTGTTCTATATGTATAAAAAAAACCTTTTTTACACGCAATTTGACAGTCATCATTCGCTCAATGCATTCGTCAACAACAACTAACGATAAGTCGATAAAAATAACAATATTTCATATATGTTTCTGTACAAGTGTGCGTTCGAAAAAATGTCAATATCATCAAGGCGGCACGATTATAATTATCACCTACACGCATATCATCCATAATTAAGGCATTATTATACACATATATATTGATCACGTCTATCTACATAAACACCAGCGACCGTGAGGCGTCAAATGTGCGATGTACACTGGCGTCAATAATCGACATCGTCGCGATTGTTTTTTCCCCCCTGTTTTTTGTCTTTTACTTGAATTTGGTGACTAGAGACTGAAGAACCTGCATACGCTCTCACATTTTGTCAGTATTTTTTTAAACTGATCAAAAAAAGAGGTAAAATTTCGCCGTCAGAAAACAGAAAAATCGGCTCCGTCGAGCGCGCAGTTGCACCTCTTCCCCCCATGAAGACAAGTATAACGTTATTGTGAATTTTATGTGTGCCGCCCATGCCCTCGCTCATTTTTCGAACACTCCGAAGATGAGAAAATTCTATCAAAAAGTCTTTGGCCCACGTATCTCGCGCGCACTCCTCCATCTCTCGAATATAAAAAACATTAAAGAAAAAAAAAAAAGAAAATAGATCAACGTTCAATATAAAGTCTTCGCTTTTCACTCTCTTCGAGTCGATTGGTTATTTGTTTTTTCCTTTCAACATTCTTTTCAAACGAGTGGCATCTTGTTGGGCGCGAGATGTTGACGAAAGTGTCGATGGCAGTGATGGGTCGTGGTCACGGTCGCTGTCGGAGGCAGCAGCGGCGGCTGCAGTCCCTGCAACTTGTCGCTCTGCGTCGGCAGCGGCTGCAGCATCCTGATGGCGAGGCTGGCCAGTATGAGGAGCAAGACGAAGCCGCAGATCGGCACGGCGATCGTGACGGTCCGGAACCAACCTTCGGACTGCTGCTGGCTACCCGTGGCCTGGCTCGTCGTGCTCGATATGGACGTGCCACCGCCGCCCAAGTGGTTCTGCTGATGATGCTCGCCGATCAGCACTGAAACCCGAAGAAAAGGAAAAATAATTATTATACATGCGATGAGTAATTGCGCCACGTGTCCGTATACGGAGAAAATGTGACACTCGAACTAAATTTAACAATAATAAAAGAATATAATAGCGCGTGTAGCGCGAAATCAAAGGGCCGGAGTGAAAGTAATTATACACGCTCGTACGATATCGTGTGTCGCTCGCGATGACAATCGACGCACAATAATAAGAAAAAAGTACCGTCAGCGGAAAATCGCACAGTCAAGCGAGATAGATATGTATACAGTAATCGCATCGCGAGAAAAAAAAGAAATCCGAACTGCGGCGATTTCAGGCAAAACATCGCGAACGTGCTCGAACTTGTATCGTCGTATATATGTACCCTTCCATAATCTCGGTAGCTGCGCACAAAAGAAATGTATCCGCGCTGCTATGCAGTACTGTGCACGTGTACGAGCTCGCGCGTTGTGTTTTACTCCTTGCCTTGCCCCGCATATGTGCCCGTGCACTTCGCGTTTATATACGTTTAATTAGCGAGCGAGCTCGAGGGATATGTAGTACGCGCGCAACGAGTATCCACTGAGCGCGAGATAAGAATCGAGAGCAACATCGAGGTGCGCCTTTTTTGTTAATCTTCTCTCAACGGCAACAACGAGAAAAATTCTCTCTGTCTCACCTTGCAGGGTCTTGTTGAGCCTGGCCCTCAGAGCGGGACTGTCGACGTGATTGCAGAGGTCCTGCTCGCAGCACAGTTTTCCCGGCGGGCAGGATATTTTTCCGTTGACATTGTTGCCGCCGCTGTTGAGTTTGTCGTCGAAGCAGCCGCTGAAGCCCGCAGTCTCCGGCCTGCCGTGCAGCAGATGCAGCGATTTGAGGCTCGACGAGACCAGGGCCAGAGGCGGCAGCTCCGTAAAGCAGCCCCGGCCGCGACACATGTAGCCCTGCGACACGCAGTGCGGCTGATTGCAATAGCAGCGCACCTCGTGCTGCTGCTGGGTGGATTTCCTGGGCGACGAAGACGAGTCCTGTGACGAGGCCGAGTTGTTGTCTGAAACAGGAGAATGGAATAATTTTGTTAAAATTTTTCTCAATTACTTTACGAGTACGGTATTTATAGATATCCTATGGTCCATCATCGTCCCGATTTTTTATTTGGAAAATGAAAAAATTTATATTATGTCTAGATTGAATCCTCAATTCGGGATCGTTTGCATAAACAAGTCTGAGACTCCGATACATCTTAACCTTGAGATAGACAGAAACAAAGGCAATAAAAGAACAGTCCCTTCAGCACTGCCTCGTAAAAAGCTCCAAGTTATAGACGAGGAGCTCCAAACGATGCGCAGCACATGTCGCTCATATTATATATACAGACGGCGGCGGCGGGAGGGTCCTCTTACGCGCACTGCATATCCTTGCTAACTCGCCAAAGGCAGCGTATCCCAAAATCAAAACAACAAAACAGAGAAAAAGGAAAAAAGAAACACGAGCTCTTCTCTCTGCAACGCAATGTATAATTTTGTCAAAAGCCGCGACGAGTGTTCGTTGCCCGAATGCGCTCGGCAATTATTCATTCTTCGTTACGTACTACCTAAGTATCGACTTTTCGCGCGGCGTGATTTTGTCAAAAAAAAGCGAAAACATCTGAAGCTCGTGCATAAAGAAATTAATATCTCTTTCTTTCCTTCTCTCTTTCTCTTCGTCTCTTCGTCACATATTATGTTGTACGAGACGAGTGTATACAGTTCGGGCGGCCCAAAGGCAAAATAATATATTCATTAGCTTCAAGACGCGCAACGTCGACACATTTGAAAGCAATTATGGACGATGCGCGGCGTCTGAAAACCATAATTTTAAATCACCGACGTCTATTTCCATCCGTACACACGTATGGGCTTGTATGCAAACTTTGACTACACTACAAAAAGGAGATGCAAAAGGAGAGAGTAAAAAAAGGGAGATGGCATATCACCGCATATTCCTCTATGTGTCAACAACAACGCTATTGGAGCCGTGCACACGTGCACTTGTACGCGAGTGTTAGAGCTATAGTCTCTTTTCTCTCTCACAGCATGAAAATGATAAAACTCGACTCATAGCTCTCGTGTATACAGTGTGTGCAGTTGCTGCATTTCGGGGACTCGTCTTTTTTTGTGTGTGCGTTACCGTACGCAAATACGATATATAGAAAAAAAGCTGAATCACGCGGTGAAAATTGTGAAGAGTCATTGCGTCGAACACGGAACGCAGTACATAAGACACAAGCGCGTTGGTGCAGCTACAATATACAAAGAGCGCGGCTTTTTTTCAAAGCCTCTCCGCGCGCGCGCGAGCTGCTCGTGAATGCACGCGCGCGTGCACTGCGTTTAATCATCATTATAATAGCCGCCGCTGCTTGTGTGCATACACACGCACACAGCACGTACAACGCACGCCGCACGTATAAATTGAATTTGTCGTATATTAACGGCAATGATGATGCACATATCTGGATAGTTAACAGTGCGGTGCTTGCGAGCAAATTTCGAAACGAAAAGGTAAATAAGGCAGAAGAAAAATCAATTGTTCGCATCGTCAGAGTGACAATCACAAGACCTTTACTTTCATTTATACAATTATTTTGACTTTACCACTTACAGATTTATAGATGAAATGACTCGTCATCTAGTGCGAATTTTTAACATTTTTATTGGCAATTTCACTCAAAATGTTCAAATTCGAATGTGGAATTCAATCATTCAATATTTAGATTCAATATTGAAAAAATAATAATAATAATAATATAAAAGCTGCAGCAGTTACGAATTTATTATGTCTTCCTCCGTGTATAAAACTCCGAGATCAACGACGAGCTGACGCACTTTTAGCTAGAATCCCTTATCGCTGTATATAACGCATACAAAATTTACGTACGTTGCAGAGCTCAACCTAACGCGCACGTGGTCTATTCGCGCGCAGGAATTTCTGCACAGCTGCAGTCAGCCACGACACTATTTCGAGCCATACACACCTTTTGGCATTTGTATTCTCATAAGGTACACTCGTGATGCGCAAGCTCTCTCTTCACATCGTGTACAACTTGCGGGATCGATGATGGCTTTCGCATGCGTGAATAATGGTTCAATTGCGAGTCGATAAATAATCCCATCTTTTTATACAATAATAATATAATATCGCCGTGCACGCACGCGATATACACTCTCGGACTGTCCGAACTCTTTGCTCCACGCGGCATATATCTGTACGGCAAAATAATCGCGGGAACAAAGTGAAAAAAAGAAGGAAAAAAAAGAGAGAAAAATAAGAAAGGAGCAGCAGTACCGTGGACGAAGAGGGACTATAATCTCACGATTCATTAACGACGTAAAAACGCTAAAGCGCACCGCGAGCATGTGCACACACACGTACACGCACATACTTATGCAGGTCCACACAGTAGGTATATACGATTGCTCCTGCTGTTTCTGCTGCGAAACGGAATAAAAATAAAATAATAAAAAAGAAAGCGAGCGAGTTTGCAGCACAAAATATACAAACACACACACACACACACACACACACACACACACACACATATATATATATAAGACACACGCGCGAATCCGACGACGAGGAGAGCGAAAGAGAGGAATAACTCGTCCCTGAGAGTTTACGATCAAACTGGGCCATAAAGCATCGATATGTATACTCTCCGCAAGCGCAGCAGCAGCAGCAGCTCTGGCTCGCGCGCGCCCCGAGAGTAAAAGCGGGAATAAGGACTCGCGAGCTTCTTATACGTGTGTGTATGTGTGTGTGCAACTGAGCAAAAAAAACCAAATTCCCGATGGAGCAAGCCCTACAGGAGAGAGAGAGAGAGATCCTTTGTCTTTTACCTTCGCTTCTTCTTCTTCTTCTGTTGCTGCTGCTACTTTTGCCTTCTTGGGCTTTGCTCTCTCTACTTCTCCCTTTCTTGACTCGTGGCTATATAGGTACTGTTTGAGCTAATAAGCTTCGTCTGCACACACATATACTCAAACACACACACACACACACATATTTTTACATGCTCGCAGGGCACAAGGCAATTCGCTGAATAAAAAACAAAGACTCTAAATGGAGGAGAATATATGGCTCTGTTCGCGCGCGCGTGTGTGGCTTGGCTTGTGCACAGACTGCAGTGCAGCGCACACCGGCACATTTTCCGGCATGCTCGCATCCGAAGGGCCGGGGCCGAGACTCTACTCTACGCGCAAGTGAAATCGCATATCGTCCTGCACGTACGATGATGCTGCGCATGAAACTTTAAACATGTAATACCATACAAGAGTTCCGAGTATTTAATTTTCGGCCGTGATTACGCCTGTGTGCGCACCAAGTATTACATGCCATGCACTTGTACAGTATGCGTAGTCAGACATGTGACCGGTCATTCCTGCAGCGCGCGCGAGCTGCTGCTGCATACCTCTGCCTCGAGAGAACATGCATATTTTCATGTGAAAGCAACAAAAAAAAACAGAAAGGACAACGAACAAATTAAGAAAGACACACGCGCGCGAGATGGGCCCCGCTATACACACATAAACAGGCCGACGTTTAATACACCATCTATATATATTGTATATACGTGCTCGACCTGATCGGCCATCAAGAATATTATATGTACACGAAGAATGCGCACGAGCAAAAGAGAAGAGAGTCGAGCAAGAGAAGAAGAAGCAGCAGCAGCAAAAAAGAAAGAAGAAGAAGAATTGGGCGAATACGAGCACGGAGCAGCAGCAGCAGGAGGTCGTGCGCTGCACGCGGTTCCGCGCAGCCGAAAACAAACACCGGCGTACGTACGATATATACTACGCTATATACCTGCTGTATACCTTTATGGTATGCGTGCAGAGTACACATACTCTCTCTCTCTTGGTCCGTCGTGCCATCATGCGGCATATTAATTATTTTACGGGCATATAAGCTCGAAGCCCGACTCGCTCGATATGAACTTGATTCTCCCTTCGGATGTTGTACGAGCTTTTTTTTCCTCTTTCACTCTCTCTCTCTCTCTCTCTCTCTCTCTCTCTCTCTCTTTCTCTCTCTCTCTCTCTTCGACGATGAGAAAATAATAAGAGAAGAAGAGCACACACATACGCACACACAATGGGGCTGAAGAGAGAGAGAAAGAGAGTCCACAGGACCAGATGCCGCGATGATCGGTAAGGTATAATATGCGTTAGTGTTTATGAAGCAGATATCGCTCATCGTTGAGAGAGAGTATATCCCTCGAGGCACAGCAGCAGCAGCTCAGCAACACATGTGTGTAAAATCTCTTGCCTCGATTTTTTTTCATATCGTCCTCCCCCTCGCGCCTCGAATGCCTTAAGTCTCGTACGTATAGCATGTGCACACAACCCGCGATCAACGCATTTATAATATACGTTTGTAATTGGCCCTTTTTTGCGTCGTGCGCGCGCGTGACCAATGCGCTGCGTGCCTAGATTTATGTACACGCGTCTCCGGGATATTGCATTTTTTTGCGCGTATAGCTCTGTGTGCAGTATAGGGCGAGATTCTTCGACTCGTATATAAAACGCGCTCTCGAGATCGTCCGATGGGAGCTAGTCTGATGATGGCAGCTTATAAATAAATTGCTCAATATTTACTCGGCACGAGCGGCGCATTCATGTTCATGACACGCACTCGCGTGTGCGTCGCGAGACACGTTAGGTGCACACACGCGTTATTCTGCGGGTACAGATACTCTTACCGACACTATATCGGTTGATCTTTCGTTGCGAAACTCGACGTCCCATTGGCAAGTAAAGCCATTGTAATGCGTATACTGCTCATTGTCTATACCTAATAACGATATCGTTTATGGCATATGAACCTGCGGTGAGATTTTTCAGTCCCACATTTTTTTTCTGACGCTCGTCGCGTAAACACAACGCGGGCTAATTTAATTGCTCGCGTGCAGCTCGTATGCGTTAAGCTTCAAAAGAAATCGGTATATTTACATCGCGCGTTAGCACTGTATACTATATTGTAACATTACGAAATTTCGCATACGTATATAGTTTTACA